GCCTCACCGACTTCTTCGCGCGCCGCCGCCCCGGGCCCCATGCCTCCCGGCCGCGCACCAAGGCGGCTTGGCGCACCCCGAGCCCCACCGAGCCCGCGCTCCGCGCCCGGGTCCGCACCCCGGGCAGCAGCCGCAAGCGCCCCCGCCCGCCCGCCGAGCCTGCGCGCGACCGCCCCGCGCCCCCCGCGCGCCGGAGGCTGCGGCTGCCGGCGGACGCGGTGAGGGGGAAACTGAGGCGGGGGGTCTCCGCAGACAGCAGGGCGCCGGCTTGCTGGGGCCGCCCTGAGAACCGAGCGCCAAGGTGCGGGCGGAGGGGCGGCTAGACGTCCGGCCTGCCGGCCAGGGTGGGCGACGAGCGGTCAGGGCCTCGCGCTGGACTGCAGCAGACCCGCGTGGGCGCCGGCAGCGCGCCTTCTGGCTGCTGGGGAAGTAGGAGCCCTCGTTCACCCCTGGGGTCCTGCCCACCAGGTCTCCCGTCCGGCTGCGCCGGCTGTCCCTGACGCCCCGGAGGACTCCTCTGACCCTTCTGACCCGGCTGCTCTGGCCGCCCCGGCTGTCCCTGACGTCCCGGACTCTGCTGACCCTGGCTCTCCATCTGACCCGGCTGCCCTGTCCCCGCCGGCTGTCCCTGACACCCCGGGTGGCTCTGCTGACCCTGGCTCTCCATCTGACCCGGCTGCCCTGTCCCACCCGGCTGTCCCTGACACCCCGGGTGGCTCTGCTGACGCTGGCTCTCCATCTGACCCGGCTGCCCTGTCCCCGCCGGCTGTCCCTGACACCCCGGGTGGCTCTGCTGACCCTGGCTCTCCATCTGACCGGGCTGCCCTGGCTGCCCCGGCTGTCCCTGACACCCCGGGTGGCTCTGTTGACCCTGCCTCTCCATCTGACCCGGCTGCCCTGGCTGCCCCGGCTGTCCCTGACGCCTCAGATGTCCCTGCTGCCCCAGCTGCCCTGGCTGTCCCTGGCTCCCCAGAGCAGGTCCCTCTCTCAGCAGGTCGGCTGCATCGCCTGGCTGCCCAGGAGAGCAGGGTGAGGCTGAGGCTGGACCCAGGGCGGGGGAGGTAGGGTAGAGTGGTGTGGGTGTGACTGGCCAGCTGATGGCATCTTGTGTCCACAGGCCTCCTCAAAAGTCACTCTTTCTGAGCTCAAGTCGTGTCTACAGCGGGCACGGGAGCTTGGGGCTCGGGCCCAGAAGCTGAGAGCAGGTGCCCAGAGGAAGGATGCTGGGGAATCCAGCGTACCCAAGGACCAGGGGCACCCAGCAGGGGCGTGGTGAGTCCTGGGGGGGTGGTTGGGCTGCGGAGGGAAGGCTAGGCTAGTGGGAGCACAGGCAGGACAGGACTGCCCCTTCCACGGAGTCCACCGACAGTCCTTCGGATCCCCGCCCTGCCCCTTGCTAGCTCTGCGCCCTGGCTTCTGTGAGATGGTGCCAGTTCTGGCCACAGGCTGTCCTCCCTGTGGTCATCATGTGCCTCTTGGAGATAAGGAAGCCAGGGTTGGGGGGGCCCGGGACTTTCTAGGTGAGCAGATAAGACCTGGCAGAGCCAGGTTTGAAGCTACAGGTTCTGCCTCCATCTCAGTCACACTCTTGACTGGTAGATGGGGCATGCGGGGGGCTTTGGGAACTGCTCTGTGGTGTGGCATGGGAGAGGCTTCCAAGCAAGCCCTGGCTCTGGGGTCTCCCTGGCCACCCTGCCTGCCTGCCGTTGGCGTGGGAGGGGTGTGGGTCTGGTGCTTCTCTTGAGGCCTGGCTCCCTCCCTGGCAGTGGAGAGAAGGCACCTGCCTACCAGCGCTTCCATGCCCTGGCGCAGCCGGGGCCTCCAGGCCTCGTGCTGCCGTACAAGTACCAGGTGCTGGCAGAGATGTTCCGCAGCATGGACACCATCGTGGGCATGCTCTACAACCGCTCTGAGACCGTGACCTTTGCCAAAGTCAAGCAGGGTGTCCAGGACATGATGCGCAAGTGAGTGGCCCTCAGGGGGTGGGGGCCTCGCCCTGCCCGGTGGGCTCTGACCCCAGCACCTTTCCTATAGGCGCTTTGAGGAGCGCAACGTGGGCCAGATCAGAACTGTGTACCCTGCTTGTTATCGCTTCCGCCAGGAGCGCAACGTCCCCACCTTCAAGGATGGCATTAAGAGATCTGATTACCAGCTTACCATCGAGCCAGTGCTGGACCAGGGTGAGTGTGCTGTGGCCAGGTCCACGCAGCTCTGAGCCTGTTTCTCTGCCAGTGACTGTGGAGGAGACATGTGGTCTAGGGGCTGGGCGACTGGGTTGACCTGGCCTGGAGGCTCAGGCCTGAACCCTTCCCACAGAGGCTGGCAGTGCAGCTCCCCAGCTCACGGCCTCACACCTCCTGCAGCGCCGGCAGGTCTTCAGCCAGAATCTGGTGGAGCGCGTACGGGAGCATCACAGGGTGAGTGGGCGGCTCTCGTAGGAAGTGTGCCCAGCTGGCCCTGGGCTCTGTACCCTCCTCCAGTGCCCCAGCCCTTCCCGTCAGCTCTTAGTCTTAACTTGCAGGACACAGGCCTTCTCGAGAGGCTGAACTCCTCCTCTGCTGCCTCCTATAGGGTGGGTGCCCAGCTGGGTAAGGGTGAGGAGCTTGGCAGGGCAGCCTCAGGCTCCAGGAGGTTTGTGATGGGTTCAGTGGGTGCCGTTGGCCCTGCGGAGCACCCAGAGCAGAGAGGGGCAGGAAGTTACCTGAAGTCATCCGGCAGGGACAGGGCCCCAGTGAATGTGCCCAGGGTCACCCAGTACCCCCTGCCCCCTTTTCACACAGGCCTTCCTGGCCTCCCTGAACCCTCCCATGGTGGTGCCTGAGGAGCGGCTGACACGCTGGCACCCACGCTTCAATGTGGACGAAGTACCTGACATCGAGCCAGCTGAGCTGCCCCGGCCACCTGCCACGGAGAAGGTGGCCACCGCACAAGAGGTGTTGGCTCGTGCCCGCAGCCTCATGTCACCCAGGGTGAGACTGTGTCAGGGATCATAGGGGCAGGGCAGCCCAGCCTCCACGTGGGCACCGACCAGTCCCATCCTTGGCCACGCACTTCGTGGGGGTGGGATGTGCCCTCCCTGCTGGCTAGCTTTGCCCTGGGGCAGCGATTATTTGCCCTGATACACAGGGCGAGCTTGGGCTGGACAGACCAGTGTCCACAGGGATGGGGGAAGGCTTCTCTTCATAGACCAGTGTCCATGTGGATGGGAGAAGGCTTCTCCTCACAGACCTGTGTCTACGCGGATGGGAGAAGGCTTCTCCTCATTTCTCTTCTTTGCCCTGCCCCAGATGGAAAAGGCCCTGAGTGACCTGGCTCTGCGTACGACCAAGCCTAGCAGCCCTGGGGCCCCCAGCCCTGCCCTGCCGGCCACCCCACCTGCGACCCTGAAGGGGGTGTCCCAGGACCTGCTAGAGAGGGTGAGTGTTTGGGGTCCTGGAAGGAGGGCCATGGGGGTGGCTTTCCACTGACTGTTCCCGGGCTCCTGCAGATCCGCTGCAAGGAGGCACAGAAGCAGCTGGCGCAGATGACCCGACACCCAGAGCAGGAGCAGCGACTGCAACGGCTGCAGCGGCTGCCCGAGCTGGCCCGCTTGCTGCGCAGCATCTTTGTGTCCGAGCGTAAGCCTGCGCTCACCATGGAGGTGGCCTGCAGCAGGATGGTGGGCAGCTACCCTGCAGCCATGAACCCCGGTGTGTGCAGGGGTTGGGGCTGGGCCCTCTCAGCATCCCTGAGTCCTGGGTGAGGGTGGGCACTGTGGATTTGCCACCTGCCCCCTGATGTGTTTGGAGCATCTGTGTTGTGGACTGGGTGGGCACAGTGCTCTTGGGGTCATCTCCAGCCTCTACCCTTATGACCCAGCCAGTCCCCGCTGCAGCCCCACGGGACTTCAATTCCCTCCAAGCCAGGGGTGGCTCCCCCTTGGGGATGGGGGCTGGCCTGGGGCTCATTGGGGGGGCTCAGCATTTCAGCGAGGCTGTTCTGGGTCCCCTTCCCCATCTACTCATACAGACCAGCGTGGTGGGGGCTAGAGCAAACGGTGGGCATCGGGAAGGCCTGCGGACAGGGCTGGGTACCCGTCCCCTGGGGTTAGCACCACTTAGCTATGTACACACCCCAGCCTCACATATCCCCTGTCTGCAGGAGAGATGGAGAAGCACATACGGCTCCTCTCTGAGCTGCTACCCGACTGGCTCAGCCTCCACCACATCCGCACAGACACCTACATCAAGCTGGACAAGGCTGCTGACCTGGCAGGTGTCATCATGAGGCTGGCTAGACTTGCTCTTGCAGAGGCAGCACTGTGAGCCTTGCGGACACTGGCCTCAGGCTCCTGGCCCACCCGCTGTGTCCATTTTACTCCCATTAGGAACTCTATGCACTTTCCTCCCTTTTGCACTCCCCACCAGGCTTTCTGGCCGGTGTGGATGGTCTACCCCAGAGCAGCGTATCGTCATTAAACTGGTTTCTGTTGGCGACTTTGTCTTGGCTGTTGGGGGTGTAGAAAAGTGGGGTATGGGAGAGGTGGCCTTGTGGTCACTGGGCCAGGTAGTTGACACCCCCTAGATGTCCACATAGGAATCCAGGGTGATCCAGTGGGCTTGGTGCCCCCCTAGATCCTTGTAAGAGGCAGGCAGGCTGCGAGACCAGGGTGGTAGGCCACTGGCTCTGAGGATGGAGGGAAGGCTCTGGAAGCCAAGGACATGGTGTTCCTGGAGCCTCTGGAAGGAACTAGACCTGTCAAAACTGACCAACACTTCCAGTGTCTAGAACCCTAAGAAAAGGTGCTTCTGAGCCACCCTGGTGGGTGGGACTTGTGAGAGCAGCAACCAGAAAGCAGTTTGGGCAGTACCCAGTCTCTGCTCCTTCTAAGGACATAAGACAGCTGGCTGAGGACAGTACCACAGACAGGCCCGCCCAACCTGCCAGGTAGGATTCCTGCACGTCCTTGCCCCCAGGCCCAGATCCCACTCCTCCCCGGCACCTGGAGGAAGAGCAACCAGTGTAGCAAAATAGTTTATTCATCCTCTCTGTGTTTGTACGTGGAGCTGCAGGGGCCTGGGCACTTCCAGAACTGCCAGAAGGGCCCTGAAGGTGGCCCAGGCACTGGAACAAGGCAACTGTACAAAACCGTTACAAAAGTGCAGGCAGATGGCCGGTGCCCCCCAGCAGCCAGCCACCAAGTTGGAACTCCCATCTGCCAGGCTGGGGCCCATCACTCATACTGCAGGAGAGAGAAAAAGGGGACAGGGTCCAGCTTCTCCCTGCCCTTCAGTGATGTCAGCTCCACCAGGCTCACGCACTCCAGTACCTTGGCCTGCAGTTGGCCCAGCAGCTCACAGGCTGCACGCATGGTTCCTAGGGTCAGCAGGGGGCAAGAATGAGGCCCTGCCTAGCTGGGGCCATCCAGCCAGGGGAGGCTGTGGGTAGGTAACGAGGCTCCCAACTGCCCATGCAGGGTCTTGGTGCTCCCTGGTAAACTGTAGAGTGCTGGGCCCCAGTCCACTTCTCCCACTCCCGTGGCGGGGCACATTCTTCTACCCCTAGCAGCCGTAGTGCCAGGTCCTTTTTGCTAGGGGGAGACCCTCACCTCCAGTGGCCAACAGATCATCCACAACAACCACCTTCTCCCCTGGCTCCAGGGCATCTCTCTGGATTTCCAGCTGAGCCTGTGGACGGGAAGCAGAAACATGGTCTGCACATCTCCGGGAATGCCTCTGGTGTTCAGAGCCTCAGAGGGGACAGACAGGAGGCCAGTCTGAGCCCTGGTTCTTCGGCTGTGTGAGCCAGCCTGGTCTCCCAGACACAAATCGAGCAACAACCACGGCCATTCCCAGCCCACTCACCTTGCCGTATTCCAGTGTGTATGAGGCAGACACGGTGGGGCCAGGCAGCTTCCCTTGCTTTCGGATGAGCACACAGCCTAAGCCGAGTTCCTGGGCCAGGGAGGGGCCAAACAGGAAGCCTCGGGAGTCCAGGCCTGTTGGCAAGAGCTGGGGTGTCAAGGGGCAGTGTGGCCCAGCAGCATGAAGAGCCCCATGGGCCCATACTAGGGAAGGACAGGAAGCCTTTGCAAAGACAGCAGGCTCCTAGGTTTGTTGGCTCCAGCCAGAAAGGCAGTGACCTCTATCCTCTTGAGGACACTGACCCAGTACCAAGTGCAGGGACTGCTGGGTGCTGGTGGGCAGGAGATTGGGAGCTGGGGCCACAGAGGAGGTGTATCCTGTGTGGGGGTGCAAGGAGCTGTGCGGCTGCTGGGTTATCTGTCTTCTCCCCATAGTGCTGCCTCAGGTATCTGGGGAACAAGTAACTATAGAACAGACCCAGATGCCCCTTAAGCATCCTTCAAAGCTGCATCTGCCCGAAAGCAAAAGTGCAGGGCCCCCACCTGGGAGGGCCAGGGGATGGGGCTCATGCAAGGCCAAGACCTGCGGGGGGTGCTCCCTGAAGCCCCATGTTGGGGGAGGATCCACAGCTCAGTCTACACTGCAGAAGGGGAACACCACTATTCTTGGCCTAGTGGACTCTTGGCCAGACACACCCTGGGAGAGTCAGCCCGGTCTCCACGTGTCCAGGGCTGAGGACCTGGGACTTGGGGTGGGGGAAGGGGGTGACCTGGGCCTGGGCTGTGCCACCAAGGCTGGAGGGGAGGTCACCAGCTAAACACTGATGCAGTGCCCAGCCTGTCCCCTGAGAGCTGGCCCCAAGCAAACGCTGGGCGCCCCTCCAGTGTGCGCTCTGTTCAGGGGAGAGGGACACCCCTGCGGCGGCAGGGGGCGGGCGGGACTAGGGGGGTATGCCCGGGGCACGCTGCGGCAGGGGGCGGCCAGGTCGCCGGGAGGGGGGACCCCGGGATTCAGGCGCCCGCCCACTTGCCCACGATGTAGTCGATCTTGCCGCCGTGGGTCTTCCTCAGGTGGCTAGCCAGCAGGTGGATGGAGGCGCGGAAGGAGTCGGGGTCCTTCAGGAGCGGCGAGATGTCCCTGGCAGGCGAGGTTAGGTTAGGCCGTGTGAGCCCAGGGGTCGGGCCCGGGCCCCGCTCACGCCCCCGCCCCGCCCCGCCCATCCGTCCGCGCGGCCCACGTGGCTGGCCCAGCCGCACCTGAACAGCACCCCCGGGACGGGGAAGTCCGGGAAGCTGCGGATGCGCCGCGCCACCAGCTGCAGCTCGGGGTCCGCCATCGCGAAGCCAGAGCGCGTCGGCGAACCGCTGGCCGCAATCTGCGCCGGGAGCACGCCGGGGCGGGGCGGGGCGGGGCGGGGCGGGGCGGGGCGGGGCGGGCTGCTCTGCGCCTGCGCGGGGGGCGGGGCGGCGCGGGCGGGCTGCTCTGCGCCTGCGCGGGGGGCGGGGCGGGGCGGGGCCGGGCCGCGGGGCGGGGCGGGGCCGGGCCGCGGGGCGGGGCGGGGCCCGCCGCTTGCGGGGTTACCGTATTTCACCGAATCTCGGGTGCCGGGGTGGTGGAGACGCGAGGGTTTTTCTGTACCCTGAGCAAGAGCGTCCCCGCCGAGGGTGGTCTAGGCGGGCCGGGCGGGGCCCCGAGGGACCGTCGGGGAGGAGGGGGTGCTAGGGCCGCCGCCACGCCCCGCCTCCTCGGGGCCTCGGGGCGCGACCCGCGATCGCACCCCGGCGCACTCTCCCGACGCCAACTTCCGCGAAATGCAGCTCTTAAAAGAAAAAGAAACCACTTAAAATTCTCGTTACTTTATTCGAATGCTTTATTCTACTTCCTCCTTCGTCATCTCCCCAGTATTACAAGGACGCAGCTGTGGCATCGGCATCAGTGCGGAGACACGAAGATCCCCACCCCCCGCCCCGTACGGAGTGGGGGCGCGGAGGGTCGGCAGGAAACACCCGCGTCCACACCCGCTGGAGCCCAGGGGCAGAGGGTTGGCAGGGCAGCTGAGGCACCGCTTACCCCCGGGGTCCTGGGGTCCGGATCCTTAGGAAAGTGGGAAATCCAAGGTGCCCTCCGTTCCCCCGGGGCCGGGGAGGCCTTCCTTGGCTGTGGCCAAGATCCCCTCCCCAGTCACAACCCACCATCGTGGGGTGCAGGGGGCCTCTGCATAGGGCCAAGAGGCCAATGCAGGATTTGGCAGGGCCGCCTGGGGACAGCGGGCCCTCTAGGTCCTGGGATGGAACCCAGCACAGAAGAGGTCGGCAGGCCAGCAAGAGGGTTCCGAAGCTCCGGGCCAGGTCTTGGGCACCAGTAGCCGTGCAGGTCCCGCTGGGGTGCAGATGAGGTCCATTTGGCATGGGCAGAGCAGAGGGCAGCTGGGGCTCTTCCAGCATGGGAGCCCTGGGCCAGAGTCCTTCTCCCTGCAGGATCTGGGGGGCCCAGGGGCAGAGCCCAGGCCTGGCCTGAGTATCAGCCACTGCTAGTGGGGCCAGGAGCACTTCTTGGGGGTGGACTCCGGGGGCGTCAGGCACTTCCCTAACTTTTCACAGCCTGGGGGCGCCCAGTTCTGGCAATGACAATTAAGAGAGAACATGAAGTTATTTTAACACTTCTGGGCTTTGCAGACTCCCGCCCTGTCCCTGTCCTCCTTGGCCTCAGGGCCCAGGAGAGGAGCTGCGGCCAGGCTTTTCAAGACAGGCTGATCCAGGAGGTTGCTCACAACCTGCTCAAGATCCTCCATAGAAAGCTCTTTGGTTGTCAGCTGGGGAGAGCTGGCTGGCTTCTGCAGTGGCTCTATGGGGTACAGCCCCTTGGCTGCACACTTACTCTATATAGCCCTGTTTCTCCTGGCACCAGAGACAGATTCATGCACATCACTGTGCCTTGGCAGGGAGACTCAGAATCACCCTGGGGGCACTCCCCTGAGAGGGGGCCAGAGGCTGTTACTGCATCAGGGTATCAAAGGCAGGGAGAGTCCCGGGTGAAGGTCTCTCCTACTGTGAATGGCATCACATGGCACTGGTGGCTCCTGCAGGGTGGGGCCAGTCATGGGGGCAGGGCAAATTTTGGATAAGGTAACTGTTCTCAACCTTTGAGGCAGAGCAAAATGACAGGGTGTGTGCACAATACAGATTCTGAGGCCCGTCTACCCATCTGAGGGGGCAGGGAGAGCCCGGTGTCTGGTGTGCAGGACAGCTGGCTGGGGCTCAAGGGCTGTGACTGACTGCAGGGCTGATCTTGTCAGAGACCAGAGTACACCATACCAAATCCTCATCCTGGCTGGGCTGGCAGGGGTTCATGTGCGAGGAGGGTAGAGGGCAGAGGGCAGGACCTTTCCTTCCTCCAGGTATGGTGAGGACAAAGGGCTTTGCACACACGTGCGCCCACCACGTTCACACCCATGTAAATCACACAGCGCTCCAGTGGCAGTGCTCACTCTGAAGTGTGGAGGCCAGTCCACACTGCTCCAGGCTGCTTGCAGGATGGAGAGGGGGGTGTCCTACACTCCTTCCGGGTCCAGGGGTCAGTCAGCTGTGGCAGTCCCCACGGTGCCCAAGGGAGGGCGGGAAAGGACGTGGCCACCTAGAGACCCAACCTGGGCCTGCAGTGCATTTGCTGACCTAGGAGGAACTTGGGGTTGGGGACAGCTTGCTTTCACAGGAAGATTAAAAGCAGGGCTTGGAGTGGGCATCAGGGGCTCCTCCCTGGGCCAGGGGCGGAGTGCTCTCAGGCTCCAGGGATCAAGGCACCTGAGGTCCTGAACCAGGGTCCTTCCTGTGCCACTGCTGTGAGTTCAGCACCCAGACAACCCCTGCTGGCTTCTGCCCCCAATGTCTTCCATACGGAGCTTCAGGACACGAGGCTCCAAGGTGTGGTGGCCCTGGCTAATGAGGTAGCTTTGCCCACCCTTTAATCATGCTTAGCATCAGGAAAATGCTTCCAATGCCTGACTCTATTTTCCTGGCACACCCCCTCCACCCCACGCTACACTTTGACTCCCCACCCCCCACCCCCCACCAGCAGGCTGGACTCCACAAAGCAGCTTCAAAGGTGCTTAGCTATTCTCAAAATTACAGGGCAGGTCTGGGGAATGGGGTGCTCGGGGGAGGGGCTGTTAGGCTGGGAAGCCAGGCTAAACCATCCTGAGAGTGCTCGGTGGGTTCTGGGGTGCATGTGTCCCTGATGAGACCTTCAGGCCATCAAACGTGTGCACACCCCACATGGGTGTGGCTTATCCAGCACCCGCAGAGGAGTCAAGCCCCTCCCCCACCCCCACGCCAGGTCTGCTCCAGGGCAGCAGGAGGGAAGTGGGGCTCTAGCCTGTAGCCCCAGCAGCTTCTGAAAGTGTGCTGTTTGCTGGACTCCTGCCCCACTGCCCAGGGATTGCCTCAGCTGCCAGAACCTGCTGCAACCCTAGACTGCTCCATGTTGAAAATATGGGTGATGATCTGGGGTGTGCAGACTTCATGTAGCCCTGGGGACACCCTCCCCACATCGGCAGCCCGTGGCATGTCAACCACTTACCATGACTGCCCGGTCACACACATTGAGTTGGGGCTGTCCAGGGACCAGGGTCTTCTGGTGTTGCTGGACAACGGGGGTGACCCTTTGAAGGACATCCAGGTACTCAGTGCTGGCAAAGCTAGAAGCAAGAGTGTTAGGTCACTGAGGTAGGGAGGCCCAGGCAGGTTGGGAAGGGGCCTGGGGGATGAGGGACCCCTCCCTGATGGAGATGCCAGCCAGCAGCCCCTCACCACTCTATGCACAGTGGGGGTCCTGCCCAGGGGCAGGTGTGCAGCTGGGAACACTCCCCACGCACGGGGCTGCAGGCACAGTGGCCAGGACTCCTGCCTCGCCGTTCAGGCTCTGAGCCTTGGCCGGCACCGCCGGGAGCACCGCCAGGGTCAGGGCACCCTGGAACAGACCCATATCTCTACAGGCTCCTGGGGCCTTGCCAATTTCTCGGGCCTTCTGGCCCAGATTTGTGTAGCAGGAGCAGCTGGTCCTGTCTTGCTCACCCTGGTCTCTGGGCCTGTAACGGTGCCCCTCCCAGCTCTGCCCCGCTCAGCAGACCCTCCACCGTGTCCTGTAGGCTGTGCTCATAGCACACACCACCTGCAAGCTTTTCAAAGCCTGTCTCGAGGCCTGTGTGGAGGCCTGTGTGGAGGCCTGTGTGGAGTCTTCCCCCGATTCTGCAGCCAAAGGCACTGGGAAGAACAGGGCACAAGCTGCATTCAGCAGTCTCAGGGCCGTGGTGCAAGTGCATGTGGGAACCCTCCTGAGCTGGGAACCCTCCTGAGCTGGGTCTTCTTCCCAGAACTGTGTCCCACCCTAGGTCTGGGTCTCCTTGTCTGGAGCACGGGCACCAGGGCTGCCATGTGTAAGCTGTGGGTGATCCTGGGGCCAGTTAGGCAGTTGGTAGGCAGAGGGACAGCACATGGCACCTCCAGAAATGGCCCTGCCACCTGCTCCTGTGGTCCTGCTGGGTCTTGGCTATGAAGCTGCTTCCAGGGGCAGGTGGAGGGCTTGGACTGCTTCCTCCCAACCTCCTCCCGGCTCAGCCTGATTCCTGACCACACTTGTACCTGCCTCTGGGTTCCAGACCACGAGGGGCTCCCAGCATCCCGCCGTGAGTGTCCTGGAGCCTCCATAACAAATGGCCACAGACTGGGGCTTAGACAAGCAGAATCTCTTCCCTCCCAGTTCTGCAGGCCAGAGTCTGAGACCCAGGCAGAAACGACCCCCCTCTCAGAGGCTCCACTTCTGCCTCTGTTTTCCTGTGGCCTCTCCCCTGTGTCTGTGGCCTGTCTTCTGCCTCCTGTGGATACTCTCATTGAATTTGGGGCCACCCTACTCCAGGACGACCTCATCTTCACCTTCATCTTAATTACCCCCACAAAGTCCCTCTTGCCAGTAAGACCATGGATGAGTTAGTGGATGCAGGTGTGGGGGACATCTGTTTCCTTCCCACAGTCCTGGGCATCTAAGCTGGACAAAGGTCCCAGGATGTGTCTTGAGTACTCTGGGTGGCCAGACCGGGAGGGTGAAGTCCCAGGGTGGGTCTTTCCAGGCTGGGGCTTCCTGCCACATACAGTGGTTCTCATCCACCCCACACCCCCGACTCTCAAGCCCCCACAGCAGCTACCCCCGAAGGCAGCGTGGGGTGGGGGTCAGGTGACTGGGTCACAGAGACCAGTGGAGTGGGAGACATGGATGGCAGGCCAGGGCAGAGGCGGACACCAGAGGACAGGCACTGCAGACCTGTTGGGGCAGGAGGACCCATGCTTTGCTTGGTGTTTTTACAGGTCTCCAAAGCTCAAGGCATGCATGTGACTCTCTGGGAATACCAACCCCCTAGTGTGTGCCTACAGTTAATGGGGCCTAGCCAGGGTCTTCCTGGCGCCCTGGCTCACCTGAGGGGGAACCTCTCCCCAGGGTCTCGTCCCAGGTGGAAGATTAGGGGCAGCTTCGTGTGCTCCTCCTGCGTGTGGGTGGTGACTCCTGAGACGTTCTGCCCAGGGCAGAAATCAATGCCCTGAAACAAGAGGCCGGGAGGGGAGTGAGTGCCATGTGTGCCCACACCCTGGGAGCCTAGGAAGCAGTGGCCATGAGCTCTGCAAGGCAGGCCAGTCCATCTCATGGCTGTGTGCTGCATCCCAGGATGCTTGAGTGAGCATGCGAGGGCCAAGCATGATGGAGGACGGTGTCTTTCCAATGCCTCGGGCTCAGAGCTGCAGAGCCATCAGGCCTGTATTCTTGTACCACGCTGGCCCCCCTTTTTTGGGTGGGGAGAGGTGAATCTCTTTAAAATATGTTAGGAGCGCCCGGCGGGCTCTGTTGGTGGGGCATGTAACTCTTGAGCTCAGGGTTGTGAGTTTGAGCCCCACCTTGGGTGTAGAGATTGGTTACCAAAAAAAAAATCTTAAAAAAAGATTATTACTTAAAATAAATAAACTATTTTAGCCCATATTGGCAGCTTGACCTTAATTAACTTCTAGGGCAAAGCTGCCCCACCTGGTCAGCCTCCTGCAGCCTCCTCGGAGGCCAGGAAGAAATGGGAGGCCCAAGTGCCGGGGAACAGGCTAGGACTGAGACAGATGTGTGGCCAGTGCTCCCACTACCCCCTTCCTCCCCAGGCCACCCCTGCCCTCAGGGTTCCTGGTGGGAGCAGCTTCTGAGCTGCATCTGAAAAGGGAAGTCACCCACTCACCCCCTCCCCCCGCCCTCCTCCCCTTCCACCACCACAGCAACTTCTTGCAAGATACATCCATGAAGGCCAGAGAAACAAAAGCAAAAATGAATCACTGGGACTTCATCAAGATGAGAAGCTTCTGCACAGCAAAAGAAACACTCAACAAAACTAAAAGACAACCCACAGAATGGGAGAAGATATTTGTAAATGACCCATCAGATAAAGGGCCAGTGTCCAAGATCTCTAAAGAACTTATTCAACTCTACAGCAAAGAAACCAACAATCCAATCATGAAATGGGCAAAAGACATGAACAGAAATGTCACAGAGGAAGACATAGACATGGCCAACAAGCACATGAGACAATGCTCCGCATCACTGGCCATCAGGGAAACACAACTCAAAAGCACAATGAGATACCACCTCACACCAGTGAGAATGGTGAACATTAAGACAGGAAACAACAAATGTTGGAGACGATGTGGAGAAAGTGGAACCCTCCTGCACTGTTGGTGGGAATGGGAACTGGTGCAGCCACTCTGGAAAACTGTGTGGAGGGTCCTCAAAGAGTTCAGAATAGAGCTGCCGTGCGACCCAGCAATTGCACTGCTGGGGATTTACCCCAAAGATACAGACGCAGTGAAACGCTGGGACACCTGCACCCCGATGTTTCTAGCAGCAATGTCCACAATAGCCACACTGTGGAAGGAGCCTCGGTGTCCATCGACAGATGAATGGATAAAGAAGATGTGTTCTACCTATGTAATGGAGTATTACTCAGCCAATAGAAGTGACAAATACCCACTATTTGCTTCGACGTGGAGGGACCTAGAGGGTATTATGTTGAGTGAAATAAGTCAATGGGAGAAGGACAAACATTATATGGTCTCATTCATTTGGGGAATTAAAAATTAGTGAAAGGGAATAAAGGGAAAGGAGAGAAAATGAGTGAAAATATCGGTGAGGGTGACAAAACATGAGAGACACCTAACTCTGGGAAATGAACAAGGGGTAGTGGAAGAGGAAGTGGGTGGGGGGTTGGGGTGACTGAGTGATTGGAACTGAGGGGGGCACTTGGTGAGATGAGCACTGGGTGTTATGCTATATGACAGAAAACTGAACTCCAATAAAAAATCTTAAAAAAAAATGAAAAGGGAAGTCAGGGTGTGTGAGTGGTCCTGGTGCTGGGATGCCCCCCCCCCCCAGAAACGCCGGCTACCTGGCGGATAGGATAGGATCCCCAGGGGATCCTGCTGCACTGGTAACCCCAGGACCCTGGGCAGTTGGGCTCCAGGCTTCAGCCAACACAGGACAGGTCTGGAGAGGTGGCCGTGACCTGTGCCCATGAACCCCAAAACTGTGAGCTGGGTGACATGCTTGTGCCACTCATTTCTCCACCATGAGCACCTGGAAGGCTTTCTGTAGGCACCAGTGTAGTCAACGGGCAGCCTGCTCTGACCCTCTCTGTGTGTGTCACAAGCAGCTGGTCAGCAGAGCCGTCAACATTCTGCCTTTCAAGAAAGCAGGGTGGTTGGAAACCCATGACATTCCATTTATCTGCACTGAGCTGTGATTCCTAAGTCAGTGGCTGGAAAAATACGGAGAATTGAAGATGCAGAGGGCAGTGAATAACGGAGGCACAAGTGGGTTCCACAGCGGGTTACCCCTGACCTCCTGGGAGCAGAAGTGCTGGAGCATACGTATGGATTCAACAATGGGAGAGATCACCATCCCTGGCATGAAAACGTTGGCAGCTCGAGGTCTCGAGAGAGCATGCAAATCATCATTTGGATGCAAATCAAATAACCCTATTTAATTAAGACCTGCTAATTAGCACAGGATTCCCCTTCTGTCCCGTGAGGGAGGCTGCACCTGCCCCATGTGGCCCCATTCCCTCAAAGCTGGGGCCCTGTGCAGAGCTGCAGAACTGGGAGCAGGGAGCAGGGCACACCTGACCCTCCTCAGCCCTCACCCTTGGAGCCCTGCTCTTAGGTTAACATGTGTGGGACGTGATCCGGACATGCACACCTGTACCTGGCTCCTGCTGTGCCCCACACTGCACATGGCTCTTGCCATAGCCTCGGCCAGCCCCTGCGGTGGCAAGGTCACACACCTGTAGGGACAGTGATCCCTCCCCTGCTCAGCTGGCCTTGGGATGGGGTGGGAAAGCCTGACCTAGGATGTAGGTGGGCCCCAGGGATGTGAGTACAGCTGGTACACTGCTAATAGGGTCCATGTGGGTGATCCCCAGGGATCACAGACCTCCATTCCCCGCTGAAACACACCCCCAGGCCCCTCCTTCAGGTGGTGAGCCTGCCCTAGCCAGGCAGCCCCAGGAGCTTCTGAACATAGCAGGCCCTAGCATGGGAGCCCTCTGGAAGGGCTGGGAAGAGGTAGACCTAAATCCTGCTGATGCTCAGTGCTCGAGGGGGTGGTCGGTGGCCACGGGGATGCTGTTGCCCTTACTTCTTGGGCCCTGCCCCCCTAACACATTCCCTCAGCCACCCTGACCCCTGGAGGGGGAAGGGCCATGGGCACAGTGGTGTGGGCAGCCCCTGTGTGAGCCCACTCGGCCATCTTGTGTCGGGGCCATTGCCTCCCAGGGACAGATGCTCCTGATGTCTACACACGGGAGAGACAAAAACCCTGTGCTTTATCTCCCAAGACCTCAGCAGCAGTGCAGAGCAGACCAACCCGGGAGCTGCCACAGACAGCCCTGTGGGGTGGGAGCGCATCTGCTGGCTTCTGGACAAGAGGAGGGAGCACTCACTAGCTGCAGAGTGGCCTGGCTGGGGTGTGCTGAAGTGTCCTCTCCCGACCCTTCCTGGCCCTAGCACACAGTCAAGTCAGAACAGGTCACACAGGGAGCTGTTCTACCTGCAGAACCTTCCAGACTCTTCTGATACCCTATCTGAAAGAGGCTCCCCCAGCTCTTCTCAGTTTCAGCCTGGGTGGGAAGCTGGGACGGGTCTCATTTGGGCCGGGGCTGATGGGACCAGGCCCCAAGAAGTCCCAAGAGCCTGGAGAACCAGGGAGCCATGGGAGGCCTGAGTGGCTTCTGGAACCCCAGCTGCTCCTGTCCACTAGGACCCTCGAGCAGCCAACAATGGGACTGGAGATGGCCCGGGGAGCCATGCGTTGTCACGGGAGGGGCGGTGGGGAGGGAGAAGTGAGGCCATACAGCTGCCCTAGCCCCGTACTGCCAGGGTCTGGGTTTTCAGGGCCTCCTATGACTTCTCAACCTCTGAGCACCTGAAGGGCAAACTGCACGCAGCCCTGTCTGACAGGAGGTGGGCTGCCAGGTGCTCAGGTTGGCTGACATACCTGAACAAAGGTGGGGAAGAAGAGCAGGTGTGGGAGCCCTGGACGCAGGGAGAGGGGGGGATGGGTGCCCACATTCAGGGAGCCCAAGGTTAAGAGAAAAAGCCAGAGGACAGGGCTCAGCCATGCTTTTTGCTAACTGTGTTCTGGGAGAGCTTGGGTACTGCTACCACAGTGAGTCTGGGGGCCCACAGGACACTCCTCTGGGTTCACTCCAGGTGTCAGAAAGCAGAAGAGAAGCAACAGTCCAGCTAAGCTCACTGCTGCCAGCTCTTGCTCCTGACGGCCAGTTGGGGACATGTGCTGGGCACGGGGAGGAAGTGTACCGTCCTGGGCACTGGGCTCTGACTGCGTGCCTGGGGCAGTGGCCCCTCATCCACATGAGGCACCGGGTCTGGGCATTGGTACGGGTGTGCCCACAGCCAGGCCCACTTGCCTCATCAGCTTGGGCACCAGATCCTCTAAGTCTGCAACTAACTGCACGCCGACTGGTACATCACGTCCTTGCACTCAGGTGGCTTTGCTAACCTAAACTGCTCTTCTTTCCAACTAATGAACTGAGATCTGGATGCTCAGAGGGGTGGGGGTGTCACCCTGAAGGCCCTGTAAGAGGCAGGGGCTGAGGCCCAGGAGGGGCAGGACAGGGCAGCAGAGAAAGCCACACGCAGCCTCCAGGACAGATGCTGGGAGGAAGATGCTGCACCTGCTGTTTGGTGGGACCAGCGAGCACCTGGCCAGGTGAGAGTAGGTGGGACTGGGACAGGAGGGGCCAGAGGAAGGAAAATCGGTTCACCTGAGTCCCCCAGGCCTCTGAGTAGGGTCAGAGCCTGTCCTGCGGGATGTCTCAGTAGGGGGAGTCCAGGGTCCTAAGGAGCTATCCCTGTAGCTATGCCCTGTCACTCCCAGCTTCTCCCTATGGTGGGTGAGTGAGGAAGGTGGTGAGTATGAGACTCCTGTGGCCACCAGCCCTTAGCGGGGGCCTCTGGTTCTCTCCACCTGCTGCTCTGCTCTGGACAGGATGGTGGGGGGTGCAGTCCACGGCGCCCCAAGCCCCTTACCTGTCTGAACTCCTCCCAGGAATTGGTCCAGGTCCAGAAGTGGGCCTTGTACTGGCCAAGGGTGACTGCCATCAGTGTATCTCCACGGTAATAGAATATCGGCCTATTGGGGAGGGAGGGATGGGGTTCGGTGACACAAGAAACGTGTGGGCTCACAGTTATGTTGAAATTTTACAGAAAAGACCATGCTGAGCTCACACTGGCGCAAAGGTTAATGGGTCCACCAGGCTGCCAGGGGTGAGCCCCATGGTTGGTCCCCTGGGGGCGAAGCTGGTGGCAGTTGTAGAACGGCCCTGGCCTCATCTCAGGGCAGACAGCCTGCTAAGAACACCACTATCTCTGACACCCCCTCCCCACCAGGAAACAAGCTCTTGTGCCAGGTTTCAAGTCAGAAAAGACAAGCAATGCCGACAAACACCTAACAAAGCCATCTCATCCCTGCCCTACAGCCAAGGCAACTGTGTAGCTCCCAGGGCAACAGGTGCCTTTCCTGGCTACATAACTCAACATTTCAGAATTTACATCCTTCAGAGCAGCCTATGACACTCATTTGGTTTGAACAAAACAGCAGCTGTCTCAAGCTGGGGAGCAGTGGGAACATGAAGAATCCAGCAAATATGGACACAGGATGGCGCTGGGCTCCAGCTGTCTGGACATCGGTCACTTGGGCAGACAGGTCTGTCCTCCTTCCAACAGCCCGAGGCAGAAGGATGCTGCAGGCAGGAGGGAGGTGTTTCTACCTTGAGACCAAGACCTGGATGTGCCCAGAGGCCCTAGGTGCTGTGAATGGTCTCAGAGGACCTGGGCTCATGCATCAGGATGCTCTCAAGCCACAAAGTCCCAGGGTGTCTCCTCATGTCCTCCCTCTGCCCCAAGCCAGCTGGGGGAGGAAACCTGCTGTGTTAGCCAGGTCTGGCTGTTACCTGGTGCTGGAGGGCCAAAGGTGGTACAGGGGCCAGTGCCCAGCTGGAACCTACCTGTCTGTCAGCTGGCCCCTCAGCATGGCAGGTAGCAGGTCCAGGCCGTCAATTACCCTGTCACTGGGCGGTGCCAGGCCTGCCAGGGACAGGCTGGTGGTGAAGAGGTCCATGATGCTGCCCAGCTGGTGGCTCACCTGAAATGACAATGGAGGTGCACTCAGGATGCCCTGCCCTGACTAGATGGCAGCCAGGGGTCAGGTCCTTAGGCATAGGCCCTTCTGCTGCCCAGCAAGGGGCACACAATCACACTCCTTCCAGTGCATGTACATACCCTTGCCCTGTCACCTTTCCATGCACCCTGCCTTTTCAGCCTCAACTTCGCTCCAGGCTCTCCTGGAGCCCCTCAGGTCCTTAAAGGTCCAGCTGGCTTGTGTGCAGCTGCCACACTAACTCTTGGGACATTAGGGCTGAGTGGGGATTCCAACTGTCCCATCCCTAGTTCCCAAGCCTTCATTTCTGTGGTGACTATGAATTGGAACCAGACAGAAGTGAGAAGATGGTGTAGGAAGAGGCCAGTGGGGTCCAGCCTGGTGGACCTGCCCTCTCTGAACCTGTCTGTCACCATTATTTTAACACTGAACCACTGTGAATTTCCAAATCAGGTGAGAGCATAGTGGGAAAAAGAGGCCTGTGAGGCCCAGAACATGAGGAGCTCCTCTAGCATGAGAAGGGGCAGCTGGCCAAGGCTGACAGGAGGATAGGTAAAGACTGGACAGGCAACTGATGTTCTAGGTGACCTTGGCCCAAACTGAATGCTCTAACTCCATGCAACCAGCAAGACAAATCTAAGGAAAGGAGCACTCTTGGCAAAGAACTGCCTGCTGGTCTCGACAGAGACCCTGCCTCTTCAGCTCCCCTGCCTCTTCTGGAGCCCACTGAGTGCTTTCATCCCATCCCACCCCACAGAGCCCGTGGCCCACTCTCCCCAAGCCTGGATCTTGGGGGTGAGGGCCCGGCCAGGAGGAAGAGCTGGAGTCTGTTGGCAGGTTTGGCCAGGCAGACATCCCCTGTGTGCATGTTGTTGATGAATCCAACCACTGCTTTCCTCACCTGGGAGGACCCCTGCCTCTGCCAGGGTATCACATGATAGTCCCCAGACATGAGGAAGTCTGTTTAGACACTGAGCACACCAGCCATGGCTGCTCGCATTGCTGGTTCTATAGTCCAGTGTGGAGGGAATGGGAAAGCCAATGTTTGATTTAAACCTTTGCAGAGAGGAGGAGGTGGCGGCCAATGGCATTATTTCATTCCCATGGCTTCTCTCCCTTGTCACTTTGAGACAAAAAGAGAGAGAGAGAGAGAGAAATAAAAAGAAAAAAAAGAAAAGAAAGAAAGAAGAAAGAAAGGAAGGAAGGAAGGAAGGAAAGAAAGAAAGAAGGAAAGAAAGAAAGAAAGAAAGAAAGAAAGAAAGAAAGAAAGAAAGAAATTAAGAAAGAAAGAAATCCAGATATTTTAGCTACCTGGAATAAATAAATGGGGAGGAGAGACTGCTGTGTGGATGGCATGGTGGGGTAGAACGGAATATCTGGTGTCCTCCTTATCAGCACAGAACAGCTGGGAGCATAGACTCTTTCTGAAACACAGAAACTCTCAATGTGCATAATGTCTTCAAGAAAATGCAATTGTCTGCTGTGGGCTCATGGCAGGAAGTCATTGCTGTTGCTACCACCACTTCCAAGACTTTACTCTGAAACAAAGTCTCCCTGCCAGGTATGAGGGGGTGCGGAGTATCTGAAACCAGTGGACAATGACAGGGTGTTTAAATAAAGTCCTCCCGTGGTCATTATAGGGCGTGGGCCTTACAACCTGTTTGCTTCAGTTTCAGCGAGTGCTGTGGGACAAAGTGCAGGGAAGGCTGCACGGCTCTGTTTGATATGTTCTCCTCTCCAGGGAGCAGGGCCCAGAGGGGTGGAGGAGGATGATCCCAAAGGCTGGAGCTTTCCCTTGGGGGAGGACCCCAAGGAGACTGTCCTGGAGCGAGAAGTTGTGGGGGAGCCAGGGGAGGAGGTAGGCTCCATGCTCCATACCTGAGGGCTGCTCCCAGCTCTACCACCCGCTAGATAGAGTTTCTGACAAGTGACTTCCTTTCCTTGGGCCACAGTTCACTAACATGTGGGATGGTGATAACAACGATGATGGTGATAGTGACAATGACAGCTGGGATGATGGTGATGATAACAATGATGATGGTGAACGTGGTGGTAATGGTGGTGAGGATGACAGTGATAGTGATGATGGTGAGGATGATGGTGACAGTGATGACAGTGCTGGTAGTAACGGTGGTGATGATAACGGTGAGGATGATGATGGTGATGACAGTGATAACGCCGACAGGATGATAGTGATAATGATGACGATGGTGGTAATGATGGTGATGACAATGATAATGGTGGCGATGACAGGTAGTGATGGTGGTGGTGGGTAGAACAACATCAATGCCCCCCTGAGGTCCACATCCCAATCCCCAGACCCCATGAACGTTTCCTTACATGACAAAGAGGAAATCAAGGCTGCCAAACAGCTGATCTTAAAATAAGAGGTGATCCTAGATCCCTGGCAGGGGCAGGGGGGACAGAGTCAGAGCGACCACTCGATTGGATGTTATCAGCCTAGATGATGGCAGGGGGGCTGTGGGTGCCTCTAGAAGGTGGGAAAGCCGGGGAAATAGATCCTCCCCTGGAGCCTCCAGGGGGAACCAGCCCTGGGATGCTGGGAGTCTAGTCCAGGACTAGCAGACCAGTCTAGTCTGGTCTTATGACCTCCAGACTAGCAGATGAGGGTATTGTGTAAGCCACTGAGTGTGGCAGTCATTGCAGCAGCCACAGGGGAATGTGTCCCTCGTGGTGGTGCTGTGAGGGCTAAGCCGACACCAGCAGAAACAGTGCTCTCTGGAGCTCATCAGAGAAGAGAAATCAGTTAAGAGCCAGTGAGAGGAGTGTTTGCAGACATCGGCCCTGACACCCACATTTATCAGGAGTCTGAATTGAGATGCCCAGAGAGAGAAGACCCCACATGTGGGTTCTTAGCAGGAGGGACAGAGCAAGGGGCTCTGAGGTGCAGGAGAGGCTGGCCAGTGGAGACGGCAGCACATACAGCAGGTCCAGCCAGAGGGCCAGGCTGCCTAGCCCTGTGGCTTGCACCTGTGCACTGCAGGCGTGGTGGAAGCCACTCTGTCTGAGACTGTGCCTAGGGAACCAGCAGCCTAGGAGGTATATTCTGTGGTCAACTCTGTTTTCAGAAACCCAGTGCGCTCTGTGCCCTCCAGGTGTTCATGATATCCATCAGCACACTAAGACTCTGACAAGTCCTTCAGGGGCTTAACTTAGTTTATCTCAGGACTGCCAAGTTCACTGACAAGGCAGCCCTGTCACCTGAGGGCAGCTGCTAACACTGTGCCTGACGTCCCCGTGCCTGTCCCATCTGCCATTTGCCAGCCATCTCCCGGTTTGGAGGAACCAGGAGCTTCATGTCAGGGGGTGGCCGATCTGACTCACCCGGCCTGCAGGGATTCGCCCGGGCCACCATGCAATCGCAGGCTCCCTCATCCCACCTTCAAACGTGGTCTGCTTCCCGCACAGAAAGGGGCCGTTGCTACCACCTAGGGAGACAGGGTTGTTGCCCATCAGATGTCTACCCCGAGTCCCCGGGGCGGTGCCTACACTGCTGGGCACTTGCTTTCAGGAGGTGTCCATCTGTCACAGCCTGGTCCCCCAGGGGTCATGTGGCTGGAAGGACCAGCCACAGATTTCAGACCTCAAGCTTAAGGCCAGAAGGCCTGGAGATGCTCTGGCAGTAACTGTGTCCCTAAGGCAGAGCGCCCACTCAGAAACGGAGAGCACAAGCACTGCCATAGGCCAAAGCCACAGTTGATCTCCAGGAACAGCCTGGCTTACACACTGGGGTCCTCAAGCGCCCCTGTGCGTTTGTGGTTGGGAGTCCAATTGTGTCATCCCCTGGGTCCCCTGGTGGGGTGTTCCATTGGGGGTGGGGCACAGATTCTGAGAGGTCCCACCCTGTGCCAGGACATGTCAGAAGGCAGACAGCCCTAGCCAGGCTGCCTCGCTCCCAGAGCCCAGAGGAAGATCCCTATGGGACAAATGGTGACCTGTTGCTGCCAGCACCAGCAGCCTGAGGCTCCTTCAACCCCAGGCCCTTATGAAAAATTGGAGAAAACGGAACGGAGCAGTGTTTTTCTAGTAGTAACCCCTGTGGCTTGCTCCTACACGGGACCTGAACCCTGCCACCACGTGTTAGTGTGGGCAGACCCTGAGGAAGAGCAGTGAAGGTCCTGTAGGACCACACACCAGCACAGGCAGCTGAACACACATGCATGTGGATCACAGAGAATAGTGAGGACAGGATGCGGCTCCTTCTGGGGGGACTCAGAGATGCTGACAAGGGTCTACCCTCTCTACCTCTATTTCTCAATCCATGTGGTGAGTACACAGATTCTTACACACATATGTGAACCATTCCATACTCTAGGCATGAGGATGGGACACTGAAGCCTGGCCCCGGTCTAAGAGGTGGTCACAGCGAGGGCTGGGAGGCTCTCAGGGTACCAAGTTGGGGAGGGACAGCAGAGACAGTGGCATCCCGCATGCCACGGGCCTCTGCTGGGAGACAGACAGACAGTCCCACCCTCATTTCTCGGACCATCAGCTGCATGGGGAGAGTCTGAATGAGGATGAGGCCCCTCCATGGTCGTGGAGGGCACCACCTGGCTCCCTTGGGGCCCCCGACCAGCCAGGCCCAGACTCCGTCCGACCTGCTGTTCTGTATGTCACCAACATGATTCCTTCTCAGCTTGAGACCATCTGCCCCCCAGAGAACTGGCTGCAGGAGACCCTCCCATTCTGTGTAATGGCACAGAATGCACTGTCCCTGACAGCAGGGCCCCCAGAGCCTCCCTATCCAGGCCTGTCCCCCTGGGTTTCCTGCTCCCTGTGACTTTCCTTCCAGAGCCCTCAGAGTGACTACGGGCTCTGCTGAGGCCCCAGCGTTTTCAAGGACAATGGGACAGAGACGTGCCACTGTAGGTGTGGAAGGGGCAGGGACTCCTATAGGATGGCAGGGTGCAGCCTCTGCGCTCAACAAGATGGAACAGCCTGAGAGTTGGCTATGTAGCCTGAGCAGTCATAGCCCCGAGGAGGCCCCCTTGCTGAGCTGAGCTGGCACTCTGGGGTGGGGGGCTTTTGGAGATGGCTCCAGCCGTCCAGGGGCAGATGGTGCTCCAGGAAACATGGGTGTTGGCAGGTGGCCCCTGCCAGTCTCCTGTGTGACTAGGCCAGGGCGACTCCCAAGTCTGTTCCCACTGGACGAGGGCCCCCGGGAAGGGAGCGGGCATCTCCCCCACTGGACAGGGCCCTACATCAGCCCGTTCACCCTCTACCTAGGGTGGCTGAGCAGCCCTGATGGAGTATTAGAGACTCAGGGCCCCGAGGGCAGCCTTACTGGTGGAGGCAAGGGTGTCTGCAACACTGGCCTTGGTTAGGAGCAGAAATGAGGGCCGCGCCATTGTCCGATGTGAAGAAAACAAACGTGTTCTCAGAGATCCTCAGGTCCTGGAGGAGGCTCAGGATTTTCCCAACGCTATTGTCAATCTCCCGGACGGCATCCCCATACCTACAGGAGAAAGGACATTAGTGAGCTTTAGGGCTAGATGACACAGCGGGCCAGCTGAATTCAGAGGGGAGGGAAAGACCAATTCCCCAGGTTAATCCAGGACACAGCCAACTGCACCATCACCACCCTCCTCCCGTGAACTTCGGGCTGGTGGGCAGCTTCGGAGAAGCATGGACCATCTGCCTTCTTCCGTGATGGATAATTAGAGATGTAATGACACAGAATGCACTGTCCCTGATATAGTCAAGTGGAGCTGAACCCTCCAGGTGGGGGTCTATGTCTCCACGACCAAGGACTCACCGCCCTCGTTGGCTGGTGCCCAAGAAGGGTCTGGAAGCGTAAACAGGTGCATGAGTGGCATCGATGGCCCAGTAGAGAAAGAAGGGGCGCTGAGCTGCTTGCTGCCTCTTAATGAAGTCCAGGGCTTCCTGCAGAGAAGACCCACCTACGACTGCCCTGGAGGCCAGCCTTCCCCGGCCAGGGCCTGCCCAGCCCAGACTCCCATTACCTGCAAGTACACCTGGGTGAGGTTGGCCTCCCCAGTCTTCAGGTTAATTGGAAATTCCTCGTAATATCTGAAAATAACATAGGCCCAGACAAGAATCAGAATTCTGGAGACCAAGAAAGCCTCCTTTTGCATGATTTCATAGAGCTACGGACCTTGCTCAGAAGAGGGAAATGTTGAACATATGGATAAATGGAACTGGAAGCTGGCCTTGTTCCTGAGGTCATGGGGTTGTAGAGGACAAGGTGCCACAGGAGCCACCCCCCAATCTGGGAGGCAGACAGGAACAATGTTAGGACAGGGGAGGCTGGAGGCAGAGAGGATGGGAGGTGGGTCTGGGGTCACCAGGACTGGTGGCAGCTCACAGGGCACAGACGCTCTAAGCTGGCCATGTCTGCGTGGCGGGATGAATGTGCTAAAAACCCTTGAGCCGCAATTCTGAGGAGCGAGGTCTCTCCCAGTGAGACTATTACTAAAATGCAAGGGCCTGACCCAGATTTCTGGCCAAAACCCACAACAAGAATTCCCACCAAAATGTCAAACAGTAAAAAAGGAAGGAGAAAAGGAGAATTGAGCCAATCGAAATTCCAGACAGGCCAGGGCCCGACCTTGCAGGGCCACACTGCAGGCCCCCTGAAGGCAGGTGCTCACAGAGCCACTTCCCTCCCACAGCAGAGCGCTCTTGGTAGCGCCATCGCCCCAAGCATGTGGCCCACAGAGCGCGTGGCCCACAGACTGCATGGCCTGGGGCAGGCCAACGGCCGGGGAGCTGGAGCAGCTTCGGGCTGAACAGTGTTGTGTGGACACCTTGTTCAGGGGAGGATCTTTGGTTCTCATCGTGGTCCTAACCTTTCCAAGGTTAAAAACCCCTGCAGGTGCGGCTCAAGCAGCAACCCTGAGCCGTGAGTCTTACAAGCCCGGGGAAGAGCCAGCCTATGAAGCAGAGAGCTGGTGTGCTGGGACCTGGCACAGGCAAGTAGGGGATCCAGAACCTCCTAGGCCAGCGACCTGCTTAGGGCAGGGCCAGGGGGCGGGGCCAGGGCTCCTAAGGCAACTCTAGGGAGTGGGGCCAGGCTCTACTGTTTTCAGGGAGGGCAGGGAAGGGACCCGTTACCTGCCGACCATCTCCCAGTCCCTGTACACAGGGATGTTGGGCCTGGCCCTGTTGTCATAAGGTCCAAAGTGACAGTTGGGGGATCCAAACCACTCATCGAATCCATGCTTCAGGGGGTGGAACCGAGGCCTGTGGCCCAGATGCCTAGAAACAGGAACCCAGAACACTTTAGGGACCCCGGCTTGGGAGAACCCCAAAGTGCTGAGCACGAACAACTCATCACCTTCACAGAACATTTCAGGAAGCAAGTGTCTCCTGTAACCAACATGTGCTGAGCCCCAGGCCACCGGGACCTTTTCCTCCAGGAGGGAGCTGGGAGCCTGGCCACCCCAGCCCACAGCTGAGGGCACCAGGACAGAGGAGCATTCAGGAATCCCTCCAGAATGCTGGGAGGGGCTCTGGGTGGACACGTGGTGAGATACCTCACACCCATCAGAAACCACCGGAACTCCAACCGCAGCTCCATCTCCATGCTCTGGTTGCTTCCTTGTTTCATTTGTCAGGACAGTTCTGCAGGCTCAGCCTTCTCTGGGCTTGTGAGGAAGGCAATGTGCAAGAGAGGTAATGACCACCCTCTCAGGATGAGCTCTTTAAAACCCCCTTCTCCCAGTTATAATCATGCCCCAAAAGAGGGCTTGGGAAGCCCTGGGAGAGCTGACTGCCTGGGCCTGGCTTCATCAGACTGGGACAGTGCCAGGGCTTGCCAGGGCTACTCAATGACCCAGTTTGTTGGCCCTGCCTGAAGGGTGACAAATGGCTGAAAAGCTCCCCAGACCAGTACTGTGGGCATCAGGAGCCAAGCAGAGCCTCTGCTGGACCCTGCCCCGCATTCCTACCTCTCAGGACCCTCCCTCTGGGGGCACCGAAGGTCAGTTCTGCAAACAGGAGGTGCCCACCAGAGAGGCCAACGGTCCCTGAGCGTAGACCCATCTGCTGATGAGAATGCAGGGTAGGTAGACAGAGGTTTTTCACTCTGGCCATGGGTTCTTGGGGAGCAAGGCCACCCCACCAGGGAAGTGGGTTCACACATGCCTCTTATAGTGATACAAGCTTGAAAGCAGTGTCCCCAGAGCAGAGATTCCATCCTCTGCTGCCCCTGGGGAGGCCCTGTTCAGAGGGGCTCCAGTGGTTCACACAGACCCCCAGGAACTGTAAGGCGATACACTGCTTGGCCACTAGATCAAGGAAGGTATGACTTGGTGTGGCAGGGGAGAGCTGGGCTGCATGGGGCCAGAACCCGGACGAGAGGCCAGAAGGTGCGTCTCTTGTGGCCTCAGCTCCCACGGCTGGTTCTGAAACACTCTGCATCCTGACTGCCATTCTGCTGGCGCCAACCTCAGACCTCCCTGCCAGCTGCAGGATGTCAGCTCTGTGGTGACCTCTCTCTTTGCAGAAACCTAACTGCCAACTCTGCGCTGTGTGCTTCCTCTTTGTGTCTGATGTCCTTCTGGGCCTGCTGCTACCACGCCCTGTCATTTCTCTACACCCCACTCCAGCACTGACTGGGAGGAGGTTGCCCTGGCTGTGTGCAACATTCCCGCACACCCACATCCACCAGCTCAAATGGGCCTGCTTAACAGAAATAGCTGACCCAAGTTCTGCTTATGATAAGTTGTCAATTCAAAATGTTTACCCTAAAACCACAGCGAGGCCAGCAGTATGCGCAGGTCAGCTGGAGCAGGCTGCAAGCTGCAGTCCCGTGGGCCTGGGGCAGCCAGAGCAGCCTCTCACTCGGATCCAGCCTCCACCCACCCCAAAACTTGCTCAACCAAGGCGGTCTGGACCTGCAGTGCTGGGCTGGGAGGAAGAAGGTCAGGCAAGTCCACAGCCCTGTGATGGGACCCCCACCCAGAAAGCCTTCGGATACAGGGTAGAGCTGACACGCCAGGCATCACAGGACCCTTCCCTTCTGTGGGCCGCAGCCAGACATGCCCTGGCAGGCCTTGTGCCGGGCCTCAGCATCTCCCCAGGCTGTGCAGGCAGCAAGCATCTCATCAGCTTTGCTCTGCGGCCACCTCCTCTCCTCCAAGCACTGCTCAGCAGGACAGCTCCTGAGGAGACTCAGGAGTGAGAAATCATTCATTAGGCAGCTCCTGGATCACGAAAATCTTCTGACGATTAGTCTTCTGATTTCTGTGGTTCTCCCATTGCGGTGATGAGTGTGTCATGCAAGCGGCACAACCAAAGCCCTCAACCTTGAGAAAGTCGTGCCAGCAAGGTGTAGAGGGGCAAGGGGTAGAGGGCCCATGGTGCAGTGAAGGACAGGCAAGGAGTGTGGGACATCAGGAAAGGCTCCCTGTTGAGGGCGGGCATGCGCTCTTCCAAGAGCCCCAACACTTGGAAAAGGGAGGAAAGAATGTGTGTCCTTCACATCTGCCCTCTGGGGATGTACCCCTGGAGATCCCTCGGGTAGTAAGAGAGACACTGTTGGACCTCTCCTGACAGCATTCACAGCATACACACACTGTGAGCTTCTGTGGTCACTACAGACCACGGGGTCCTGGTGATCCTGCACCGAGGGCCTGTCCCTCACCTCCTGGCTGCTTCTTCACTTCCCCACCCAAGCACTGTGTGTGCTGACAAGCTGTGCCCTCCTCCATGACGGATGTGCAATCACGGAGACTGGTGACACCATGGCAGCAGGCAGCACAGGGCGGGCACAGAGCAGGTGCTAGGACAGCGGGTTTGCCACAGATGTCCCAGGCCGGCGACAGGCAGTTCCACCAGCACGGCCATGGCAGCTCTTAAAGGAGTGCTTGAGACCTCTCCATGGGCCTGGAATGCAGACTCGTGTTCCCAGCACGTAGCCCCATCTGCAAGTGTGGAGCCACTATCCCCGTGGGGCACATTGGGACTCACCATTTGCCCACAATCTTGCTGACATAGCCGGCCTCCTTCAGCAGCTCAGGCAGCACGTGCTCCTGGTCTGGGATGCCACCCACGATCTCCTGCGGTGTGTAGGCTGCAAGAGCAATGTGGCACATGTGCCACACGCACACACGGGCTGGGGCCCTCTGCTCCCTACTCTTCTCTTCAAGGGCCACCTGAAATCCCTGGAGCAGAACCATCCTGGGGACAGGATGGCAGCAGGGAAGGAGCAGCGAGTGCTGCTCGTCCAGGCTGTCCTTGTCACAGCAGCATCCAGGGAGGACACTGGGTTCTGTACTGAGTCCAGCACTAACCCTGCCATCCTCTCTATTCACTTACAATTCACTGTTTTTGATGGAAGTCCTATGATCTGTTCTAAATGACATGCTACAACCCAAACAGAGCCTTTGACCCCAGGTAATGACTTGGCCCTCACTGAGTTGGCCTGCAGAAGCAAGGTCACACGTGAGAATGGTGACAGACACCCCCCCTCCCTGGCCTCCCGTGCCACAGGCACTGCCTGTGTGGACTGTGTACCATTTCTGGCGTGCCTGTTGGTGGTGTAGAAGCCATTGCGGATGGGTAGGCGTCCAGTGAGCAGAGCTGCCCGTGCTGCATGGAGGAAACAGAAACGTCCCACGCTAGATTCTTGGCCAGCTCTGCAACGCTCCTACTCCTGCTGGCTTCTCCAGAGTGAGAGCCTGGCAGGCAGAGCATCTGGCACAGCAGCTCCCATGCCCAGCCGTGCCCCAGCCTTCCTTCTCCTCTTTGGGGTGGGGTGCACAGAAGTCGTCTCCCCAGCAGAAGTGGTTGTCCTAGAGGAGGGGGCGTTTGCCCTGAACCACCCACAGCCATTCCTCTCTAGGAAAGGAGGCACCACAGACATGACTTCTACCTCCAAGCCCTTTATGGGCTCCATGTCCCTGGCAGCCTGTGACACATGGAGCCCAGGTGCTCCCAAGCGCTGGGGCCCCAGTGGGAAAGGGTTAGGGCCCCCCATTCCTGCCCGGCAGCCTTTCTGGGTGCTCTGCTTGGAAGAAAGACAGGTAGAGGCCGAGTCCTGGTTCCCATTCCTTATGCTCATGGGCCAGCCCCAACTTACATGGCGAGCACAGGGGGTTGGCTGAGTAGAAGTTTGGAAAAAGCATCCCTTCTGCGGCCATCCGGTCCAAATTCGGGGTCTCTCTAGAAGGTTCTCCATATATCCCCAGATCGCCCCACCCCATCTGCAGAAGAGAGCATGGAGAGGTGGAACTAATGTCCTTCCATCTTGGGGGAGATGTGAGAGAAAAGCCCCACGAGTGCAGAGGTCCCAGAATACCCCAGGGCTTGGCATGGGCACGTGGAGCACTGTTAGCCAGCTTGGCCTCAGCCCTGGATGCCACTGCCTCAGGCTCCCGGAGAATTGGCAACTCAGAATACGAACCCATAGACCACATACAGAAGCAAGAACTCTTAGGTCTACTGGTAAACTGAGATTTGAAAACACGCGGTAACGCTCCCCACCGAGCTACACACAGCATTATTCCACAACTGGGCCATTCCACTCCCTGTTCTACTCATGAGAAAAGGAAACGAGCACCATGAGCAACGCACGAACTCCATGAGCGTCCATGTGGCATGACTGAGGGCCCAGAGGAAATGCACCGTGTGTCCGTCAACTGCTCGGCAGACGCAGGTTGTGGTCTACCCACGCAGTACGGCAGAGCATCCACTCAGAACCCATGCAGGGCCTTGTATTTGGAAACACAGGTGCAGGGGCGTCTGGCTGGCTCAGTCAGTTACACGTCTGACTGTTAATTCAGGTCTTGATCTCAGGGTTGTGGGTTCAAGTCCTCCGTTGGGCTCCACGCTGGTGGAGCCTACTTTAAAAAAAGAAAACAAAAGGAGGGATGCCTGGGTGTCTCAGCAGTTGGGCACCTGCCTTTGGCTCAGGGCTTGATCCTGCGGTCCTGGGGTTAGGTCCACATTGGGCTCCCGCATGGAGCCTCTTTCTCCCTCTGCCTCTGTTTCTCATGAATAAATAAATAAATAAAATCTTTTAAAAAAATAAACATAAAGAAAAAACAAAAGGAACTGCCGGTGCCATCAGCTAAATGAAGACTCGCTGGAGAAAGACAAGCCCCAAAGCCAACAACTGCTGTGCGCCTGATAACACGGAGAGGCCAGGACGCAGATGCAGGGTAGCCGTGGGAGGGCAGAGTGGTCGGGAGCACCCAGAGCACACTAGGAGCCAGCGGGGCTGGAGGTGGCAGGCAGGACCCTCCTCCTGAGCCTCAGGGGGAACCAGCTCTGCTGTCACCCTGACTTCAGACATAGCTCCAGAGCTGGGGAGGAAAGACTCCTATAGATGGTGAGTGGTGATGCCTCAGGACCCACACACACATGGGAGTGCACTGGAGCACACGGGAATGTGGCTCCACTGGGGGAGCAGTGAAGCATCTACACACCAGGAAGCCCAGGAAGCCGGCGCTGTGGGGTTCCGTTTGCACAAAAGGCCACAGCAGGCAGGTCCAGAGGGTCAGGAGGTACATCGTGGGAACTGGGGGAAGCAGCTTCTTCTGGGGCTGCTGGATACAACCTGCAGGGGACTGTGTGGCTGTCGAGTGCGCAGGGCCCACGGGACACCAGGACCTGCTCATCTGAGCCAGCGAACCACCTACATAGTGGCCATGTCCCCACACTGCTGTCAGAGAAGTGCCAGCCCCTGCAGGCCCCCGCCGGCTCTTCTGACCCACTGAGTCCTGGTAAATTAGCCAGCAAGAGGTCCCTTTGGCCTTTCAGTTCTGGATTCCTTTTTTTTTTTTTTTTCTGGATTCCTTTCAACATGGTTTATTCTGAAGTCACTGAAATGGTTTTTCTGTTTGGCAGCCACAGGAGCTAGAATGGAATAAGCCCCCGGGAGAGATGTGGCCACAGGAGTACAGTGGCTGAGCCCAGGGGCAGAACAGGGACATCAGGAGTGTGCCGAGGTCTCACACAAAGTTGCACGTTCTGGGACAGGGCTCACAGGGTGCACCCATGGACCCAGCAGCCCCCAGTGCAGACAGTGGGCACAGGGGACTCACTTCCCTTCCTAGGCTCTGCCTTTCTTCCCTAGAACTTTGAGGCTTTTTGAGCACTGCAGGGGCCACTGGCTGTGAGGGGTGATCACAGGCCTCAGGCTCAGTGCTGATCCACAACACCATGGAAGGACAGGCACTGGCTCTGGCAGCTTAGGCTGGGGTCCCCGCAGGAGCCGCTTCTGTGCAGCCCAAATTCCCACTCGTCCCACCCCAACATTGTGAGGGTGCTATTCCCCACTTGTGCTGCACTGCTAAGGGCCCCAGCGTCTAGGCTCTGGGAAGTGGGCTTCTATCCTCTGCTCAGCCCCGTTGGCTGTGGAGAAAGGCAGTCTCCACCAAGGAGACTGTTCTGAGCATCTGCGAACCGTATTCAGCACACGTGTGGGGTCCTGTGTGGTCCTGAGCACACACCCAGGAATGGTGGGATAGTGGGTGCCAGCTGGGAAAGCCCTGTCATGCAGGCCCCTCTTGCCCCCATGAGCCCGGCTCAGGGGGGCAACCACGCCATCAAGGGAGTCACCCTGTGTCTGGGCCTGGAGGGGGTGGGTGGGTTGGACGGGGGGGGCATCTGCTGGGCCCTGGCCTATTTACTCAGGAGAGCCAGGGCTTCTATTTTTGCCCGAGTGTGTTTTGAGTGTGTTTTCATCGTCTGTCTCCCTAAAGTCCTAACTGACCTGTGTCTGTGGACCAGGACAGAAGTCCTGTGGACTGGTTTGCATTTCAGCTGTCATCAACCCCATAACCACAAGGGGGAACTTCCCCCTTGGCTGTTCCGGTTTCCTGCTGCCCCACGTGGGGCACCCGGGAGGGGGTGGGGGCCCCCCACAAAACTTTCCTTGAGAAAGACACTCCCCATGCTGGTCATGCACCACTCCCCAGGATCCCGTGGCCTGAACCAACACCTTCAAGAGAAGTACTGTCACCTGTATACACCTGCATCTTCCAGGGGCCCCAACCAAAAGGCAAAAAGAAACAGTAGAAAAGTTAATGTACTCTAACCCAGTCTACCCAAAATATGATCATCTCAACACAACTTCCATGGGAAACACTCTCGACACTGGGAAGGAAGCTGGGAGCTAGCTGGTTGTGCTCACTGCTGTCACGGGGGGGGGGGGGGAGTGTTGGGGAGGGAGGGCAGGGATCTGAAAGGCTTTGAGAAGCCCACATAGTGACATAGGCACATGCGTCCAGGACATGATGCAAAGCTTCCCTGGCAGCCGTGGGGACGGGATCTCCTAAGGAGGCACACCTGCTTCACAAGCAGTCCCTCTATGAGCAAGCAAGTAAGATGAAAGAGAAGTATGGTCAGGGTCATCCCCACGCAGTGGAACCACGGTAGATTTCTGGATCTTTCAGGATCGCCCGAGAACCCCATACATAACAAGAAATTGTTATTTTACTGATGAAGTTACAAAGTGAGAAATCTTACATTTTCTTGAACTAAGTCTTTGAAACCTGAGTGTCTCACATGCAGCACTCCTCAGTGCTGACCAGCCAAGACTGGCTAGCAACCATGTGAGGCTTGTGGTCTGGGTGCAAAGGCTCCCATGAGGCTCTTCACTGGCCTTTTGGGGGAAACACCTCTGACACTGTGGGGGTGTCCACACCAACTGCTTCTTCATCTTCTCACAATCCAGTTCGACCCCATCCACCAGGAGCTGGCATGAGAACCCGGAGGTCAGGTTTTGGTGCCAAACACTGGCTCTCTACAGACGCCAGCCCCAAGTCCTGTGACTCTATAATTCTTCCAACGGAACCCAGTGCAGAGTTTGAACTCATGACCCTGTGAAGACCTGAACTGAGATCGAGTCAGACGCTCAACTGACTGAGCTCCCCAGGCACCCCATCCCACCTCTGTACTTCTTCCTTTTATTTTTAAAAAAGATTTTATTTATTTATTCATGAGAGATACAGACTGAAAAGAAGAGACACAGGCAGAGGGAGAAGCAGGCTCCCTACAGAGAACCCAATGCAGGACTCGATCCCAGGACCGCAGGATCACGCCCTGAGCCAAAGGCAGATGCCCAACTGCTGAGCCACCCAGGCATACCCGGCCTCTGTACTTCTGATGGAGCTCCACAATTTACTGTGACGGCTCCCAGAACCCAGGAATGTGCCGTATTTCCTATTACCAACTTGTCAGAAAGGACATGACTCAGGAACAGCAGACTGAACACATGCCCAGGGTGACGTGTGGCTGGGGGAAGTATCCCCAGCACCTCTGTGAGTTGGCCAACCTGGGTTTCGTGGAGGTTTCGAGACAGATACAGGACTGATTAAATCACTGGCCATTGGTGATGGACTCAAGTTCCAGCCCCTTGGCCTTCCCTGGAGGGCAGGGCCATGCTGGAAACTCTCTAACCATGCCCCAGCCTCTCTACTGACCTGTCCTGAAATACCCAAGGGGCTCAGCTACCAGCCGAGTCACACCCAAGCACTGTCATCACCATGGGTCCTTCCAAGGGTTTGAGGAGCATGTACCCAGACAGGTGAGAGGACCTGAGAGGTGTCCAGGCCTGCCCTCTGTGCTCCGCTTTACCCTGACACCTTATACTAACTTCACTCCCAGCTTCTGTGTGATAGAAGTTTTGGAATCTAGGTGAGGTTTGGTGGGGTGAGGTCTGGAGCCGACGACCAAGAAAGAATTCTTGAGATGTCCTTGGTGTAAAATGGTGGTTTTATTAAAGCATGGGGGGATCCCTGGGTGGCGCAGCGGTTTGGCGCCTGCCTTTGGCCCAGGGTGCGATCCTGGAGACCTGGGATCGAGTCCCACATCGGGCTCCCGGTGCATGGAGCCTGCTTCTCCCTCTGCCTGTGTCTCTGCCTCTCTCTCTCTCTCTCTCTATCATAAATAAATTTAAAAAAATTATTAAAGCATGGGGACAGGACCCGTGGGCAGGAAGAGCTGCTGCCCTGGGCCTGTGAGAGGAGGCTGATTATATACCTGGGAGTTGGGAGGAGTTTGAGGATAGTGTACTGTCTAAGGAATTCTGGAAGCAAGGTTTCCAGGATCTTGAGGGAGATAGCTATTGTTGGGAAAAGGTCCCAACAATAGTGTCTAATAAAACCTTTAGTCTAATGGTGTCTAATAAAACCTTTATTAGTGTCTAATAAAACCTTAGTCATGAGACCCTTCAGATGTATATCAGTGGGCTATGTCCTTGGAGGATGATTGCCAACACGTATGTTGGGGGTTTAGAGATAAAGGAAATTTCTAAAGGAATTTTTATGTTAAAGTAGATTTACAGGCTCCTGGGGATTGGGCTAAGATTGCCTTCTGCCCACGGTGAACATCGAGGCAAAGTATGAACATCGAGGCAGTTGAGTCTGTAGAGGAATATCACTGTTTCGAGCACTTGTCAATGTGCATTGTCCTCAGCTAGTCCTCTGTTCCCCTCACCATGTGGATAAAGAGCACAGGTGACAAAGTCACAAGGAGACAAGTGAACAGCTCAGTCCCCCGCCAGGCATCCTGTTGACCTGGCAGGGCCGATCCACCAGTGTGACCACACGCCTGGGGCTGCACGCTCACCCCGCAGCCAACACTCCTTCTGGTTCGATTCTTCCCAGACTCAAAAAAATCTGATCTATGGCCAGAATTAGCCAGCCTGAGCAGCCTGACCAGGCAGACAGGAACAGCCCCAGGCAAGGCACATCCTGGAGGCTAAAAGCAGAGAAGGTGACTTCAGGGCAAGTGGGCCAGGGTCCTGGTCACTCTGCACCCCTTCCCGGCCCGCTTACCGGGGGCAGTGCGGGAGGGGGCATGGCAAGGTGACCAAGGGTGCTGGGGAACTGGTCTGGGCCACCCCTCTGTCCTTTCAGGGTGCCAGACACAGAACAGACAGGTGTCACTCCCTGGGCGGCTGACCTGACCACCGTAGTTCGCCTGAGGAAGGTGCCGATGGCAGGGCCAGGTCCTACTGTCACCCGGCGGCCCTCCCTCGAGTCCTCCCCTGAGGCCCTACTCCAACCCCCCACCTACGACCCTCCCCACTCACGGCCTTGCCCACAGGCTGACCCCACGCCCCCCACCACCCCACGGCTAGTCGCCCAGCCCGCCCCCCTCGGCCCTCCGCCCCGCCCCGCCCGCCCCGGGACCCCGACCGGCGGCTGCACTCACGTCGTCCATAAGCAGGAGCAGGATGTTGGGCGGCTGGGGGGCGCCCGCAGCCCCGAGCCCCGCGGCGCTCAGCACCAGCAGCAGCCGCCATCTGGTCGCCGCGGCCACCGGCGCCATAGCAACCGCGCGCGGAGCCCCGAAGCCCTGGCAGGCGGCGGGAACCGGCGGGCGCGCGGCGGCTTCTCCTGCGGGGCCGGGCCGGGCCGGGCGGGGCGGGGGGGGGGCGGCCACGTGACTGGCGGCGGGGTCACGTGACGCGGCCGGCCGGGCCTTCAAGATGGCGGTGTGCGTGGCGGTGATCGCCAAGGAGGTGCGTCCGCGGGCGGGCGGGGGGCTGCGGGACCCCTGCCCAGGCGCCCCTCGCTCCCGCCTCCCGCCCTGCCCTGCGGGCTCCGGCGGAACCGCCTTGGAGGCCTCGCGGCGCCGAGGTGGCCGGGGGCGGGGCGGAGGGAGGCGGCGGCGGGGGGGCCGTGTACGCGGCTGCTGGAGCGTCGGCCCCGGGCGCGCACAGGGCCCCGGGTCCCCGCTGGCCTGTCCCCGGCGGTCCGCGGGCTCCGAGCCTCGCTGGCCGCTCGCACAACGTCCTGGCTCCCTGCGCACGACCGCCCGGCGGCCAGCGTCCGTCTCCCCCTCCTCCCCCCTCCGGCAGCCCCAGTGCGGACACCTGAGCAGGACGTGGCCCGCCCCGGCCCCGATCTCGGGTGGCTTCTCCTCGCCTTAGGGCAATGGCAGAGTAACTTAGGGGCCCCATCCCCTCGGAGTTACCTAGCTCCCCTGACGCCTGGGCCTTTGCGCTGGGAAGCCCCCTCCCTCTCTTCCCCGCTGCCTCCTCTTGCGCTGGCCCCTCTAGATGTCATTTCCCCCAGAAAACTGTTTCCGATTCCTAAGACAGCTGAGCACCGTCCACACGGTTTCCTTGTGCCCGAAGCGACCGTGTCTTTCTGTGTCTTGTGTAGTAGCATGAGGCTCAGGAGGCGGTCCTTGTGGAAGTTGTTCCACTCTGGAGGATAGGCAGTGGGTTTAAGAGAATGAGAGTGTGTTCCTGTGGCTAATTGGCTCTTGGCCAGTCCTCCGTCCTGAGTGCTCTGGAGCCTCATCCTCGTGGCCTGTGCACCCAGGATGGGTTCTTGGCACTTCAGTTCGGCATCCTTTCTTGCAGAATTATCCTCTTTACATCCGCAGCATCCCCACGGAGAATGAACTGAAATTCCACTACATGGTGCACACGTCCCTGGATGTGGTGGACGAGAAGATCTCCGCCATGGGGAAGGCCTTGGTGGACCAGAGGGAGCTGTACCTGGGCCTGCTGTACCCCACAGAGGACTACAAGGTGTATCCTTCATACCAGGTGGGGGCCTGCCAGTGGGCGGCCTCTATCTGCAGGCTTTCATACTGGAGATTCCACCTCCAGCTTCTAGGCGTACTGTAGGATCAGGTGACCTGGAAAGACAGAACTTTCAGCTAAGGGAATTATGGCAGCTTGAGACTAATTAAGACTTCACATCCTTTTTTCCTTTAATTAGGAGGATGGGGGAGCGCTGAGGAAAGAGGGGGCATGAATTCCCTGGAGACATATGTCAGTCTGCACCTGTCTCTTGTGTGGATTGCTTTCCATACTCTGTCAGCAGGGCCACTGCCTCTGAGCAAGGGCAACTGTTCTGGTTCTGTCCCAGGCCCAGCCCCACAGGCCACCGTAAAAACTTGACCGGTCTTTTGAGACAAATGGCATGAAACCCCTGGAGTTTGAAGACAGCTCCACGAGTAGTTATGTCACCTGCTTGGGAACCACTGTTCTTCCGGATAAAGTGGACTTTCAAGGCTTGGGTGTCTTAGGCAGCGACTGCCTGATGCTTGGGCCTCTGGTTTTGCGGTTAGAACTGCTGGGCCAGGAAGCTGGGGTGCCCCAGGGTCTGGGCAGGTGGGCCCCGGAGCTTAAGTCAGAACAAGGTTTAGCTGCCTGCCCTCTGATCCTCATGTGAACAAAAACAAGGAAGTGTACAGTCCATCTGGTGTGGCCCGTGAGGTCCTCCTGGTGTTGTGGGACAGGTCCAGCCTGGGGCTGGGGGGGGGCATGCACAGATGGCCCTCCACTCACACCCCCTCCATGGTGATGCCATTTTTGTGCTGTCACAGAGTCCCTGTGTTGAAAGCACATTCCCTAACCAGCTCTGCAGGTATGGCTACGTGACCAACTCCAAGGTGAAGTTTGTCATGGTGGTAGATTCCTCCAACACGGCGCTTCGAGACAACGAGATCCGCAGTGTAAGCACAAGGGGTCTGTGGGCTCTGCCTGGGCCTGTGTGTATTCTCTTTTTCACATTGTTTTCAAATGCTGAGAAGTCAAAAATTGGGCAGCAGGCGTGTGTACCCGTGGACTGACACCACTGGCTCTTGTCTCAGATGTTCCGGAAGCTGCACAATTCCTACACAGATGTGATGTGCAACCCCTTCTACAATCCTGGGGACCGCATTCATTCTAGGTGAGCTGACTGCTGTGTATGGACCCTGCCTTGCTGAGAGACATGGTTCTGAACGTGAGGGAGGGAAGGTCTGTTCAGGTGACAGACATCGTTTCTCTAAGGAGTGATACTGAAGCAGCAGAACCTCATTTTCCTGATGAATTCTTGTGTGGATGTCCAACATATGAAACAGACAGAGGACACACACTGTGCCCTCTCAGTTTCCCAGGTACGCCCTGTAAGCTCTAGGGCCTCCACAGAACCCAGCAAAGGCCCAGGCATGTTGCAGAACCTTTGTGAGAAAACGTCCTCCTATTGCTGTCCAGCTTTGTCTTTGACATTGATCTTGGATGGTCAGGAAATCCCACCCACACAGTTCTCCTCTGATAGATACAGATGTGATATTGGGATCTCACAAAGATCCTTTATAACGAGTGTTCATGAGCACATGTTCCAAATCTCCTGGGAATTCCCTATATTCCTTGATGTGGGGCCCTGCAGTGACCCAAGCCAGGCCTTTCCCATGGTACCTTTCCTCTGTCATGACGCTCTGTCTCATTTCATCCTGGGCACCATATGAGAGAAGCAGGTGCTGGTATGGTGAATCCTATGTCTCCCAGGCTGTGCAGGACAGGGACAGCCACCAGCCACAGCCTCTCTACCCTTCTCTGGAGATCAGCTGGAGATCCAGCTGGGATCTTCACACAGGCCATGAGGAGGCACGAGAGTTAGATTCTCACTGTCGGGGTGGCAGGGCGCTGGCCTCATGATATGACTGTGGAAAGTCCCAGTCCCGGGACGTGGATGGTGCTACGGACCCTGGCACTGCCGGCAGTGCTGCTTCTCCGATGGCTCGGTTTCTCTCTGCAGGGCCTTCGACAGCATGGTGACATCCATGATGATCCAGGTGTGCTGAGCATGAGCTGTGCTGCCGGTGCTGGAGGAGAAGTGCTGTTGACATAACCGTATTGTTGATACAGATATTTATTATCACTTGCCTATTCTCAAGTGTCACAGACGTGCTGCCGGGGGTAAAGCCTCAGGCACAGTGCGTGCAGACTAAAGGTCTTCTGAGATTGGATTTGGTCTTTTCCCTGTGTCTGCAGAGGGTCTGAATGAGGAGAGTGTAGTGTGGGACGCTCCAGGATGGTGCACAGGTTGGAGGCTGGACAGAGCGGGGAGCTCTTGTCCCCACAAGGCACGAAGGAGCAGGGGGGTAGGTGAGAGAGCCCACAGAGCTCCAGGCCCTAAAGAGGCTACCGCTGCAGGATGGGGAGTGGGTGGGGGGAACGCAGAGGGAGGTACAGAGGGACTCTGTACTCTGGCCTCTGCCCTGGCAGGGTGGTGTGTCAGGCCTCCCTGAGGCCAGAGCCAGATCTCCATACCCCCAGCCCCTCAGCACAGCCCACACCTCCCCCTGCAGGGAGGGGCCTTCATGTTTCCAGTCTTGGTCTGGCCTCCAGAGGACCCCTCCCAGAGCCAGGGAGCTGTGACTCCGCTTGTTCATTGCCTCTTGCTTTCTGAGGATGGAGTGAGCAAGCCCCAGAGCCTTCTCCCTCCGTCACTGGTTAGTGCACAGCAGTTGTGAGGAGGCCCTCTGCTTACCTGCTTCCTCTTCAGGTCCCCGAGCAAGCTGGGATGGAGGGGTTACATGGAGGAGCTGGTGGGATTAGATTTCTGCATTCTGCTTCCCCAGAGGCCTGCTCAGCTAAGTCCAGGTGACTGTCTTCTGGGATTGGGTGGCCCAGGCTCGAGTAGCTTTTGTTTTTTGGCAACATGGCCAGTGAAGTGGGAGAGGCCACCAGCAGGTCTGAGCCCCACCACGCAGTGTGCTCTGTGGTGTCCTTAGCACACTGGCTTTGAGTACTGTGCCGCAACACAGCTGTGAATCCCTTCTTTCCCTTTTCGGGCACCTCTGAGCCTCTGACAAGGGGAGGGCATCTGGGACCCCCTGCGGAACCAGGACGGAAGCTGTGTACCTTTGCATCACTTTCCCTTCCTGTCTAAGGAACGTGGGATTCGTTTTTGAAATTCATTATTAGAAGGAGAAAATCAGTCAGGAGTGGGTATTGACACAAGTCCCAGCACCCCACCTCCCACAGCAGGGAAATTGGAAGGCCTAGAGCAGGACTGAGAAACACCTGCACAGGCACTGGTTCTGATGCCACCTGCACGCCTCTGGTTGAGCCTTTGGCAGTGAATGCTCCTGCCTGAGTAGTGGCTGTGGTAGTGCCTGCAAGTTGCTGACTTGCTTCCTTACTGGCAAAGCCACAGTGTTATTAGGTACAATTGACTAGACAGGAGATGTTTCCCACTCTCCGGTAGCACAGAATGGTAGGTAGTTATGGCATGTAAGTGGATGGTGTTGAGTGGAATTTGCGGGGAAGATACTTTGAAGGGGGATTCAGTTAGCAGTTGGAGTATCCTTCCTTCATCTTTTCCTTTCTTCCTGCCTGGGTCTTGGATGTGATGGCTAAGGCAGCCCTCTTGAGAGCATGAAGAAAAGCTTTATCCCCTAAGGATGGGGAGCAGAAAGCCAGAAGAAACATGGGTTTTGCTGACATAGCTCTGGACTACTTACAGTCAGCATTTTGTAGAGGAAAATAAACTGCTGACTTGTTGAAGCCGTCATTTGGGTTTTTCTGTCGGTGCAGCTAGACCACCCTTAAATGTGCTCAATGTTCAGGAGTTTTGACATCCTTAGGTAGCATCCCCCCCATTTGAAGCCTGAGAAAACCAGCTCTGTGCTGGGAGGGAGAGCATACTCCAGGTCCAGCGAGGACGTGGGGTGTGGGGTGTCTGCCTCAGAGGGACTGCCTGCTGGACTTCTGTCAAGGGCTAGGCGCTCAAGGTGCATGCGCTCCCATGGTGCCTCACTGATGTGTGTGTCACTCACTGTGGGGGCAGCCATACCCTGGAGGGCCACCAGATCTGGGTTGCAAACGCAGTTTTGCTACAGCGCCTCGTGGAGTGGGAAGGTGGCTACTGGCTGAGAAGTGGGGCCGGCCCGGGGCTGGGGTCTGAGACCCGGGATGGGCCGTTCACTGTCAGGCTTGCACCCGAGATAGAGGTGAATAAAGGGGAGGCCTGTTGTGTGCTTGTAAAATTGGTTCAAATTTAACTTATGCTTTACCATTAAGACACATTTCTCCTTTTCTTTAAAAGACTTGGAGAGCCCCAAGCGGCCGACCTCCTGCCCCGCCTCACCCCCGCCCCTGCCCCCAGGGTGCCCCGCTTCTTGCGGGAAGTGTGGCTCCAACCCGGCCCAACTCTGGAGATCGCATCCTCCCTTCAATACGGCGAATACCACGGAGAGAACCTGCCACGGCCCCTGCAGGGTTGAGGGGGAGAGGGGAACGTGAGCCCCGGGGTCTGGACGCGGGGCCGCCCACCTGGGGCGATGCCTGCTCCGCCCCCAGGGCGCGCCTCCCCGGCCCCGCCCCTGCCCCGGGCCCCTCCCCTCCCGCGGCCCCGCCCACCGGCTCCGCCCCTGTCGTTTGAAGCGGGCCCCGCCCTGGAGGCTGCTGAGGGGCAATGGTTGTCCTCTGGCGTGGGGCTGGCCTCGCAAGCCTCCACGGTCGGTGGAGCTGATCCCTGGCAAGTTGGTCCTTTGGGGCAGCACCTGGAGCCAAAGGCTGAGTCCGTCTAAGACACCTGTTCTCCTGGGCGCACAGGGCTAACACTGCCTCCAGGAGGCCTTAGGTTTCTCTGCTGGAGGCTCACAGGCAGGTGTGCACAGGCCCCAGTGCCCATCAGCCCTTGCAGCAGTAATTACAACCCGAAGCTCCTGGGCGTTAGACCCTGACCTGTTCTCAACCTTCTCAAAATTCTCACTCAGACCTGAACTGTCCAGCCACAGGCATAGTCAGGCGACGTACCCCTGCCAACCCAACATGCCCCAGGGGTCCAGCTGGGGAGGAGAGCCTCGCCCCAGTGCCACATCCAGTCGAAACCCGCTGGGCCCTGAGGCACCACCACCCTGCCCCTGCTGCCCCAAGGATGTGCCCAGTGTACCTCCACTTGGTGGGGGGTGGAGAAGAGTCTCAGGTTCCCTCCACCTGTGTGCCCCAGCTCCTCAGGGATGAATGGGTTAATGTGGAGGTGTCAGAGCACACACCTTGATGACTCGGCCTCGGAAGATGCTCTGGTCCAGCTCCACTGCAGCCTGGGCTGAGCTCTTGGCCGCAAACTCTATGTAGGCGTAACTGGGGTGGGTGGGCAGGGCCGGTGAGGGCCACCCCAGGGCACCCAGCCTCCCCACCCTGCTGCCTGGCTGGCACTGACCCCTTGGGGGTGTCCAGAGAACTTGTTGCGTAGGATGGTGACCCGGTGCACCTCCCCACAGGGGTCGAAGTAGGCTTCCAGCTCCTCAGCTGTGCTCCCGTAATCCACCTGCCACAGATATGGCCCTGATGTTGGGGGGCTCCTGTGGAGGCCTGGCCCCTCACCCCTGCTGGGGGTGGGCTAGGGACAGAGACCACATTCTTCCTGTGTCAGACGCTCCTCTACATAGGTCTGTTCTGTCCAGAGAACGTGTTTCCAGAGTGATTGGCCAAGTGGAGATTCCACGTGGAAATCCCGAATCCCAGCTCATGCTGAGAAAGTCCAGTGCTGGAGGACATGGGGCCCTTGGTCTGTTTTGGGGCAGCCCTCCCCCAGCCAGGTCCCCTGCCGTCTGGCTCCTCCCTCCTGAAGCTGTGTCCCTTTCTTTAATCCTCAAGGCTGAGAGGGGGTGGCAGGTCCCCATTTGGTCTCCTCCCTGACCATGTAGATGGATCTGTGGTCCCACTTCACCTTCCCCGTGGGGGTCCCTGGGCAGGGGCTACCTACGGGGGAGGGGGGTGCTCAGGACAAGAGGTCTCCCGACAGCTGGTGAAGAGCAAGGGGACTCAGAGCTGTGTACCTGGGGACTCATGGCCTCCCCACCAGGGAAGGGTCGGCCTGGCCTGCCGGCTCCTGCCTGCCTCAGGGCTCAGCAGCAGCCTGGCCAGTGTGGCCCCTGTGCCCTCTGCACCCTCCTCCTCCCCTGCCTGGCCCTGCGCCCCAGGTGTCTCCGGCCTGTGGGCCTGCTGTGTGGCCCACAGCTTCAGTCTGATGGCTTCCAGCTCCTGCCAGCATGACCCCACATTGAGCCTAGAAGCAGGACAGCCCCCAGGCACCTTTCGAGGGAGGGGAGAGGGAACCAGGCCTGACCATGTCTGTGCTCAGTGTCACCGGCCCCATGGGGACCTGCTGCAGGGGCAGGGAAGGCCCCTGGACTCTGGCCATCCTCCCCAGCCTGCAGGGGTGGGCATACCGCAGGGACAGTGGCCACCGGCCTCTCTGAATCTGCCCGAGTGTCTGAGGTCCCTGGCCAGCCTCCTCTGGGCTTCAAGAGGGCATTACCTGCTCAGGCACCTGTTGCTCAGCCAAGTCCTCCCCCTCCAACAGAGACAGGGGGAAGCTTGCATCTTCCAGGTCTTCCTCAGCTTCCCCTGGCTTCTTCTCCTTCCTGTCCCTGCCCCCTGGTGCCGGAGGGGTCTTCTCCACTCGGCTCCAGGCCCCTCAGCCCTGGGCTTCAGGGTCCGTGGAAACTGCAGCCAGGCCTCAGTCAGGGGTGGGAAGAGAGCATGGCTGAGGAAGGGCCACATGAGCAGATCCGGACCTGCCTCACTCACCTCCACTCTGACACCTGCCTTCCCCTGCCCTCCCTGGGGGTTTTAAGCTCCTCCACAGTCCAGCTGCTCCCACTAGAGCACTAAAAGGCTTCCCACTGGGCTGACTTCCAGGCCCTGGCCCTGTTTCCTCACCCAGGCAGACGCCCCCAGGACACTTGAGGAGGAGAGAGGAGTGAGCTGAGGCAGATCCCGCGGGCCCTCCACCTGCATGAGTGCCTCGCTCACAGTGCCCCCTGCTCAGCGTCACACCTCCAGTGGCAGGCCACGGGTAGGATGACATGGGCATAAGTGAATGAAACAAGTGTGCAGAGGCAGGAGATACGGCACCTGGGATCAGGGCAGACCTCCTGGAGGAGGTGGCGTTTGGGCTACCCTAGAGGGACTGGCCAGGCAGGGCAGGGGCAGAGGACGGTGTGGGCCGCAGGAGGAGCATGAGCGAAGACCTGGAGGGGTAAGGGTGTGTGCCACAGACAGGAGCCCGTGGTCTGGGTAGGATAGGGTCCATCCCTCTTCTTGACACCCCTTCATTGATTCCCCAGGAATTGCCTCTCGTACCCTCGTTCTGGACCAGATGGTAGGTGGGAGCCACTTATGAAGCTGGGGCCCTGCTCTGACTACAGGTCATAAAGGTCGAATCAGGTGCAGATCTATGATGGACACGGGAGGCCTGAAGGCCACTTACAAAGTCTCCCGCTTCCATGCCAGTGTCTGCTCCTCACCTCTGCCCCGGGAGGGCAGCTGTGGGCCTGTGTCCCCGCGTGGCCTTGTTTCCATCTGTCTCCATTGGAGTGGGAGCAGCCGCTCTGGCTGGCCTCAGCCTGGTTCAGCCTTGGGGCTGTTGCTTCATGTTTATGGAGAGGTCCTCTGGGCATGCTGCCCCCCTTCTAGGCCACAGCTGGGGCCGTTGGGGTCTCTTCCCTGGGGATTTGGATCGGCGATGAGCCGCATCTTACAAGGAGCTGGCCGCTGAGCCCTGGGCCTGGGACAGTCTCTCTTCCCACTGGGGCAGGAACAAGGGAGCACTTGCGGCTGCTGCTCTGGCCTCGGAAGCTGTGCTCCCTACCCCCCTCCCGGTGGAGTCTCTGGTCCTGGGAGCTGGGAGACTTGCCCCTCGAGGCTGCTGCTCCTCCAGCACCACGCTTCTTGCCCACCACACCCATTCTGCACCGTGTCCACACAGCCCCATGCACTTACATGGGCGTGACTCCAGGGGGCCCTGTTGCCACTGCTGTTTGCAGGAAGCCTCCTTATTGCTCCTCCTTCCTCTTATGGCCACAGCACCAGGCCTCCCCCGCGTTTTACCCTGGCAGGTCACAGTGCCTCAAGGGCAGCGAGCATGTCTGCACGGAGGACAGGACCTTGGCCCCATGCGGGCTGGGTGAGAAGGGCGGTGCGGCCTCTGCCTGTAGTCCCTGTGGCACGAGGGTTAGGTCCTTTGCCTCCTGTGGGTCTGAGGCCCCAAGGAGAGCCTCTGGCCTGGGCCCTTCCCTCCATTCCATGTGGGAGGCAGAACACCACGGTGGCTGCGGCCAAGCCAAGAGCCGGCTGGACTCAGGCCGGGCCCCCTGCCAGCCTCCCTCTGAGCTCAGGCCTCTGCAATGGAAAAACGCTGTCACCCTGCTCTCTGCTGAGAGTGCTGACACACCAGGCCAGCCGCCTGGCTTGAGGACAGACCTGCCCCCAAGCTGGCCTTTCGAATGACGCCGTTCAGAATACATCATGTTCCAAGCCTGGGCCCAAGTATTAATAATACCCCTTCCTCCCAGGGGCTGCCAGCAAAGCAGGGGCGCCAAGTCCTGGGCATCTGAATCTGGCGAGGACCTGCTCTGGGAGCGAGGACACCACGGCTGCGACACCCTGGCTCCTAGGGATCAAGGTGTCCCTTCCCTGAGTGTCCTTCCTTAGGGTCTTGTGGGAGGTACCTGGCCCTGCCACAGGCAGTAGGCCTTGACGTCCTGGAAGCCATCCATGGGTGTCACCTGGGGCTCAGGGTCATCCAGGTCACCTTGGAGACACAGCCTTTGAAAGTCCACCCTACTTGCCAAGAACACAGGAGGCTGTGGGTGAAATTTCCACTCACACCCCAACTCAGGTCACCCATTTGTTCACCGCCCTCCCATGGGGCAGGGCCTTGTCTCTCTTGCATGGCCCCGAGAAAGCCCCACATATACCGTGAATGACCACATGAGATGCGGCTTTGCTGCGGTCACGTGGAACCAAGGAGAGGCACAGCCCCATGATGGCAAATGTTGGCTTTATTACACGACACAGATAATGGACGTGACCTGAATCATGACGTCTTACAGCACCCAGGTCAAAGGGGGACACGCAACAGGGACGGCATGCCATGGGTGCCCCAGTGCTAAGGAAAACCCGTCACAGAAAAACAAACCAATACTCGCTCCAGCTCCCTTTGGGGAGGTATAAAAAGAGAAGAGGAGGAAAAATCCATCCAATCCCCACGAGGCCATGCATGGCCGAGCCCCGGGCCTGTTCCCTGGAAGGCCAGCCCGGCTGGGCTCCCTCATCCCACTGGACAGCAAGGGTGACCACTGCCTCCATTCTAATATTTAAAAAACAGGCTCCAATTTGAGTCCAGATGTTGTATGACTGCTAGAAGGGGTCTCTGGGGTGGCACTCCAGGAGCCAGCTGAATTGAAACAAAAGCAATAGAAACCATGCAAGATGGAGTTTCCCAGAACTGTGGAGACCAGATACGCACTGTCGCAGGCACTGGGCTCCCTGGGCCTTACCCGAGAGGTGGATGGACGAGAAAAGCTGATGTGCCTCCCCTCCCAATCTAGCTCGTGTTCTGCTTTCTCCTCCAGTCCTGCTAGCAGGACCATCATCTGGGGGCTTTGCTCCCAGCCCCATTTTGGAAGATAACATGTGGCAGGGAGCCTGAGGCTAGGAAGTGCTGGGAAATCCTCTAGTGTCCAAAGAACAGCTCCTGCCATCAACCAAATTCAGCTTGCACAGGATAGCTGTTCCTACAGCTATCCAGAGCTCTAAAGGGCTGATTTCCAGAGACTGATAGCCCAGGATGGATGATGGGAGCAAGTCATGAACCCCCTGGGAAGAAGAGTTCCAGGAGCACTGGGTTCTTTCTCCCTCCTCCCCATCCTTTCCTGAAGACACCTCCTCCAGGCAATGACCCCTGGAGACAAGGACAGGACACCCACAATGTTGGGGTCTTGCCAGGGAATGTGCTCACCCTGACTGGTGGCCCTGGTCACAGGGCCCCTGAGCAGGTGTGTGGGCCATCTCCCAATGAGCACTCCTGGCCCATGGCCACCACACTTGCCAGGCAAACCCAGACTGGCCAAAGCTGTTGCTAGGACATCGGTCCAATTGACTCACAATGCCTGCAGCAGAGCTTTATCTGTCCCTGGAGCAGGCCTGGACCAATGGTTGAGGCATGGGAGGAGGCCGGCTAAGCCCACAGGCAGATTCCTTCAGGGCAGTTAAGGTCATGGGAAGACCCAAGATGCTATTGTAGCTTTGGAACACTGGAGGACTTGGTGATGCTACTCTGGGCTCAGTGGATGGGGAGGCGGGTAGGATGGACAGACTGAACATGGCTGTGTGAGACTGGAGAACAGATGGACAGATCCACGCATGCTGTGTTTGGAGGTAGATGGTGGAGAGACGGGTGATTAGGTGAAAGTTTGAATGGGGGAGGGTGGAATCAAGTGATAGCTGGGATAGAATAATGGTTGGCAGATAGATGGGTGGGTGTTTGCCTGAATGGGTGAATTGATGGGTGGGTGGATAGATGAGTGGATATATGGATGAACGGATGGATGCACGGTTGGATGGGTAGATTTGTGGATAGATGGGAGGGTGGAGGGATGGGTCGATGGATAGGTGGATGGATGGGTGGGTGGATAGATGAGTGCGTAGGTTGATGGGTGGATGGATGGAAGACGGGTGGGTGGATGGATGGGTGGGTAGGTGGATGGATGGATGGATGGATGGGAGGGTGGATAAATGGATGGATAGGTGGATGGGTGGATGGATGGATGGACCGACAGATGGATAGGTGGACAGATGGATCGGTGCATAGATAGACGAGTGGGTGGTTGGATGGATGGAAGGATGGGTGGATGGATGGGTAGATATGTGGATGGGTGGGTGAATGGATGGGTGGATTGATGGATGGCCAGACAGATGATGGATTGGTCAGAAGAGTGAGCTGATGAAATAAAAGAATGGAAAAACAATTATAGGTTGGCGGCGGGTGGCGGGGGGATATGCAGAATAACAACCAAACGTGCTGGCTAGACTAAGGCGGAAGGCAGGATGAGTGGATGACAGTGAAGGGGCTTTGGTGTCATTTTGAAGATATATTTGGGAAAGTTGGCAAAAGGAGAAAGTCAGGGCCTGTCCTGATCCCTTTGCACCATGTCATTAAGATGAAACCAAAACCAGTATTTCCCAGCCTCTCCCCTGCTGCTGAACCTCTAGAGGCCTGGATGAGTGGCCCCACCTGTGGAGACCATGGGGCAGTCTCTTGTCGGAGCACCTGGCTCCTCTCATCCTGGCCTGACCCTCCTGGACCCCAAGGCTATCTCCATCTTTCCTCTTTGTCCCTGGTAACACCCACGTCTTCCCTTTGGTCCCAGTGAGCTGTGGGAATGAGGACCCCCTATTCAGATGGCGTTTGGGGTGTGTCAGCCTGTTCACATGTGGAAGGAGGCGGTGGTCTTCGTAGAGAACACTCTGCAGACACCACCTGGGGATGGTGACCTGTCCTAAAGGAAAGGCTACCTGGGTCCAGGGCAGGATGGGAAGCAAGAAGATAGAGGAGGGTGTGGGAAAGGTTGAGGGGTCACACGCTGGGGGTTGAGAGGGCCTAGGGTGCCAGCACCCTTCTCGTTATTCCCGACTGTGCACCATATGTGACTTGGCCCTGGACCAGGGAGCTCTGCCTTCCTGCAGTAGCTTTGGCCTAAGGATGGGAAAGGAGCCCTTTTGGTTTGATTTACAGGGAGGGAGGCTCTATGAGCAGCCGCCTTTCCCTGAGCATTTGGGTCACTTGTGTGTCTAACCTGGTGGTGCCAGTGGGAGGGAGAGCCTTGCACGCTGCACTGCTGGCCAATGGTTCACAAGGTCTGGAAGGTAGCAGAGAGCAGGAGGCTAGGCCCCCCTTCTGGAGATCCCCTCTGTGTGAGAAAAGCAGGTGTATACTCCACATTTATGCCACCAGCCTATCTCCTGATGCAGAAACTCGCCCTCAGCCCTTCCCCGAGGCTGTTGGTTCTGCTGTGAGGTCTTTGGCCGAATGGGGCCTGAGCATGGTGATGGACAGGAACACCGGCTCCCCAAACCCAGACAAGCTCCCACGCCCTCCTCAGGCTTCCCTGGGTGAGAGGAGCTGCCGGGCACTTGCAGACACAGCACTTCCCAGGACATCCCCCTCCTGCTGGCTCAGTCCTCTGCTTCTCTGCTTTAGCACTGCAAGCCCTCCACCCGACCTGGCTGCCATACCCCGACCCTGCCATGTTCTCTCCCCTCTGCCGGCAGGGGCTCCATCCATCAGCCTGTGGGCAGCTCTTTGTGCCAGGCTGCTGCAGCCCCCTGGGCATGGATGTGGGAACCACACTGGAAAAATGGCCTTTTGTAGCTGCCCTGAGGGTGACCTGTTCCTAACAGCGAGGGTGGGAGGGGCAGCCCTGGGCTGGACTTTCAGCCTGGGGTATGGCAGGGAGACAGGCTGGCAGGGCACAGCAGCGGGTTCCAGCTGAAGGCTCTTCCGTGCCTCAGCCCGGTCCTGACGCCAGGGACACGAGTCATCGGGGCCTTGGACCTGCTCACCCAGATCCGCGGTATACCCAGGATAGGCACCCTTTGGACACCGCCATTCACCAGCACAATCTTGGAGGAGACAGTCCAAGGGCACCCACCTCTAAGATGCGCGTTCCAAACTGTTTTTGCATGTTCACTGAGTGCCTGAGACAAAGAGCAGCCTGAGAGACATGACAGGTGGGTGGGCTTCCAGTGTCCGGTTGGGAGCCCAGATCCCAAACTGGTCCTTGCTTTTCTGAAACCCACAAAGCAAACCTCTATGGGGAACACAGCTCTGGGACTGGAGCTGGTGGGTGTTTCTGGAGGATAACATAGGTCTGTCTGGACTTTCAGGATCGGGTTCCACCTCGAGGCAGGATTTGGAACGGCGCCCAGTCTGCAGTGCCAGTTAGAACCCTTCCTCTCAGGACCCAACGAGGAATTCCTACAGCTCTGGAAAAATTACAGCAATCATACAAACCCACTGCTCCCTGCGGGCCACAGTTCAGATTTCTTTGAAAATCTACTTCCTAAGCTTTATATACTTGCGCGGTTTCTCTCTCTTTTTTTATTTGGCAAACATCCCTTCTTTATTATCACCATGAATATCATTATTTGGACCTCTGCAAGGACTATGTACATTCACATTAGCATATACTATTGACCTCTTCCTCTCAGCGGGGTCCCCAGGAGCCCCGGTTTCAGTAGCTGATCACTCCCCGTATTGCACGGCTGCCCTGGTAATCCCTCACAGCAATGTGGGGAAATGCTAGGGCGGGGGGCCGCGTCTGCTGTGGATCCTCCCACAGGGCACACGCCAGGGCTTCCTTACTCCTTCATTTCCTCCAGGTGAGGTGAGGGTACAGGGCTGGGGGGTGGTGGTCCGAGAGACTGAGTCCCCCAGGAGCAGCTGGCAGGAACCATGGGCCTCCCTGCCATAGATGGCTGAGTTCGTCCACCGAGGCTGGTAAGGGCAGACCACTTCTGCTGGAAGCTTTCCTGCTGTTTCTGCACCCGGTGGAGGGAGGAGTGAGGGGACAGATGCAGGGGGGTTGGGGGTGGGTGGGCAGGGGGCGGCCCCGAGGGTGGGAGGAGAGGTAGAGGAGGAGGCACAGAGCCATAGCACCTACATGGCCTGGCTGCTGTCTCCTGGAGCTCTGAGAAGCAGTCAAGAACAACCCGAAAGATTGTCACAGTTTTGTTCCAGAGAGATTCTCTCTCGGGCAGGACACATTAGCGCTTTGTCACAAGTGGCAAACACGCGACGTGATGACAGTTCATGGAGGTGTGAGGACAGACGGGGCAGCCCCCTGCACAGAGGGACACAGGATGCGCACGCACATGGGCAGGGCACCCTCCCTTGCGCCAGCAGTCATGGCAGAGAAACACACGTTCCTTCTCATTGAGTGAAACCCCCCCAACCCCAAAGTCCCCACACCCCAAACACAGATCAAAGCAAGAGAGCAGGACGACACCTGAACAGATCCAAGAGGGGAGGAAAACCGTGGACGAGATACTTTGGCAGTGACAAAACCATTTTGGATTTTGACTTCTTGTGTTTGCTTTTTGGATTTCCTTTGGAGCAGAGGTGTGTCCGGCATCCTTGGCTGGCTAGCTGGCAAGGTAGTTTACAGGTATGCTTTCTTTCCTTTTTTTTTTTTTTTAAAAAAAAAAAAAAAAACTTTTTGGATTTCTACTTAAAGCCAAAGAGTTTGACACTAAAGGAAAAAAAAATCTGGAAAATGTTTCTTGAGTTGGAAATTGAAGTCTTTCTTACCATCTTCACCGCGTTGGCCACATGCCCCTGGGGTGGCGCTGGGCCACAGCGGCTCAGACCTCCAGCAGTTAAGATGTGAATTTCCGTTTCCCTTTTTCATCAGGAAGGGGACAAAACCCCCCTTTCCTTGTCCACTTCTGAGTAGGTCTGTTCCACAAAACCCCCCAAAATGTTTCACTGAGAATATAAGCCACCAAACAGATTTTTTCAGTAAAGAGAAAGTATACGAGAGTCAGAAAGACAGAAAAACAGGAGCGTGAGCGGGAAGGGGCCAGGTGGAGGAGGGACAGGCCGGTCACACTCAGGCCACTGCTCCTTCGGCTAAAGCTCAGTGGGGGGCTCTGAGGACGCTTGGAGCGGTCATGGCGTGAGACCGTCAGGTAGCTGAGGAAGTTGCGTTGATGCAGTTTTTGTTGGTTCTGTTTACTTTTGGAGAGAAGCAGTAGCAGCAGTGGCTCCCAGAGCCGGGGCAGCGTCCGGCGGGCTGGGGGGGCCAGAGGAGCCAGAGGGTGTGGCCTCCGTGGGCCGGGGCGGTGGGGGGTCAGCGGGGCGCGGCGTCCAGGGGCCCAGGTGGGCCGGGGGAGCCGGGGCGGGACGGGCCCGCGGAGCTGGCCTCACTAGGGCTGGCAGCTCCTGCGGGCAGGCAGGGGCCCAGGCTGGCCGTGGCGTCGGGCTGTGCAGGCCCCGGGTCGGCCACGGCGGCCGCGGGGCCCTGCAGGCTCTGGCCACACACATGGTGGTGCTTCTCCCAGTCCCGGTGCTGGCAGAAGGAGCCGCAGTAGCGCGCCGCGTTGCAGCCGCTGCATGTCTCACTGGCCTTGCGCCCGCAGTTCCAGCAGCTCTGGGGGAAGGGGACACGGTCAGGGGGTGCGGGGGGCCACGGGGCAGATGCTGGGCCTTGTCCCCCAGGTGCCTGGCCTGGCCGCAGACATACCCACTCTGCTCGGCCACGGCGTCACGGAGCAAGCAGAGAATGGCCCTGACTCGCCACAGCTCGTGGGCGGCTCTCTGTGGCCACAGACACTGGACAGCACTGTGGGGTCCCCAGGAGGGAAGGCAGCCACGGCCCAGCCCCCTCCTCTCTTCTGGGAAGCCCTCCCGGCTCACCTGGGCTCCAACCTCAGAACATGGTGGCCCTAGCCTGATAAAGACTGCCAGGCTCCCACCTGGGGGACATAGCCAGGCCTGCTGCAGGCACCCTTTGCCCCCGCCATCAGGCCTCTGCCCCTTTTCTGTGGAACGAGTGGTAACATCGGCCACCCATAGGAGCACAAGGTGAGCAGGAATACAGGGGGAGACCCGAGCTGGCAGCCAGGCTGAGGGACAGGGAGCCCACGCCCTCCCCGGGAAGAAGGCCCCTTGTCTAGGCAGCCCCCAAAGACTCCTGGGTCTCCTGGCTCACTCTGCTCGGCCACCCTGGCCTCCCTGTGGTCCTCACTCTGCCAGGGGTGCTCCATCCTGGCCGCTCCCTTCTTGCGGTGACACAGCTCCCCCAGATTCCGCCTGGCTCACTCGTCCTGCTCTGGTACCTGCCCTGACACCTGCCTCCGTGAGGTCTGCTTGCTCTGACCTGCCGCTTCTCTGGAGCTCAGTGTCTGCTGAAGCAGCTGGTGCAGATGCACAAGCGGACCATCCGGGGGGGGGGGGCAGGCACACACAAACCAAGGGTTTTGGAGATGTGACCCCTTCCAAAGGACACTTCTAGGAGCCCTGCGGAAAAGCTCTCTCCCTCTGACTCCTCTGACATGTGAGTCCTCTTTGGATGAGGAGGAAAGGAACCTGCTGCCTCGCTGGGCTTGACATCCCTGGCCTCCAGATGCCCAGGTACCAGCACGACCACAACACTCATGCCCTGCTGTGCACGTGTGTGCTGGAGCCAAGGCAGCACTTTAAATGCCACCTGGGGTCTCCTCACGCCTCGTGCCACCCACGGTTTAGTGAGAACATGGGCTCCAGCGCATGCCAGCCTAGCTCTGAACGATGGTCATGTCTTCCTCAGGCACCGTCTAGAGCCAGCCACGTACCCCAGCATCAGGACCCACTTTGCCAGCTGCCCATGGGTGGGATGCTGGGAGGCCACAGAGTGAGGGTTTGGGGCCTGATCTGCAGGCTGGGGACAGGGTTGGGGTGGGCGGGGGACCCTACCTCGCTGGAGTCCTCCTGCTGGTTGACGACAGTCAGAGCGTCCTCTGAGGCCTGCCGCCGGGCTTCAGCCAAGGCCCGCTCCATCTTGGCACGTTCTGTGCTGATGAGCTCGTGGGCTTTTCGCTCGGCATCTGACACGGCTTTTTGCAGCTCAGACATCGCCTGCCGCTTCACCTCATTCACCGCCTCTTCTGCAAAGGACACACGGGCTATCGTCCCATGGCCTGGCCCAGCTGGGCCTCCTGGCATTGTGGGCAGGGCCTGTGCACCAGTGACCGGGCATGCAAGTGCAAGAACGGTTGTGGGGACATCTCCCAAGCCCGGGCCCTGCCTGAGTGCTCCCATACTTTAGTGTGCAGTGGCACTGTCCTGGACGGCGTGGCCAAGCCTACCCTGACTCAGGTTCCACAGGGAGGGCCCAAAAATCTGTAATCCTAACAGTTCCAAGTGATGCTGAAGCTGTTGGTGTCAGCACTGGGGCTGGTGGCACCCACGGGCAGAGGACCAGAGCTATAGTCTTCTGCCCTCTGTGGCCAATCTCGAAGCAGTCCAGGGGATGCCCCGTCTAGGGCTCTGCATTTTATCGCTCCCAAGCCCTCTGTCACCCACACTTGCTACCTCTGGCCTGCTCATGTCTGAAGATGAGCACGCTGTCCCTGGTGTTGCTGTTGTACTCTAAGCTGTCTGGCTAAGGCCAGAGTGTCTGTTCTGTTCTGGTGGCATGATGTTCTCCAACACTGACAACCATCCACAGCCTTTCTGGCCTGCCTCAGTTTACCTGGCAGTGCACTTCTTGCACTGGTGTGTGAGGGGGCTGGGAGGAGATTAAGCTCCCATGAAGGAGACCTATGTGATAGCATTTGCACACTGGGTGTGTCTGAGCTGCTGGCAGTGCCAGCGAGAGCTGCTTGCCCCCCATGTCAGCACCAGAGCTCCATCCAGCTCTTGCCAAGGGTCCATCATGGGCCAGATGGAAGCAGAGGAGACAGGCCAAGAGAAATGAGAACCCCACCCTCCTGTCCAGGCCTGGGCCTTGCCCACCTTGCTCCAGGCAGCTGCTGCCTGTCTATGGCCCCTTGGCCTCTGACTCTGGCTTGGGATGCTCCACTGTCTCTGCTCTCAAGATCCTCAGAGGGTCCTCCTCTTCCTTATTCTTCATGTTGATTCCACCCACTAATCAGAGCATCTCTGGGGCCCTGCTACTTCTCCCCACTGGCACCACCCTCAGCTGAACACCTGCCCCCCTCCCTTTCTTTCTCAAGCTACCTACTGGGGATGCCTGGGTGGCTCAGTGGTTGAGCACTTGCTTTTGGCCCAGGGAGTGATCCCGGGGTCCGGGGATCGAGTCCCACATGGGGCTCCCTGCAGGGAGCCTGCTTCTCCCTCTGCCTGTGTCTCTGCCTCTCTCTCTGTGTGTGTCTCTCATGATTTTATTTATTTATTCATGAGAGACACACACAGAGAGAGAGGCAGAGACACAGGCAGAGGGAGAAGCAGGCTTCATGCAGGGAGCCCGACGTGGGACTCGATCCCGGGTCTCCAGGATCATGCCCTGGGCCAAAGGCGGTGCTAAACCGCTGAGCCACCCAGGCTGCCCCAATAAATAAAATTCTTATTTTTATTTATTTTTTTTATTATTTATTTATTTATTTTTAATAAAATTCTTAAAAAGAAAAAAAGCTACCTAATGGCTCCTGCGTCTGCCCCCTGCCCCAGAGTCTGTCCGCATGACACAATGAGCATCCCCACAGCACTTCCCCACATGGTGCTCCATGCCACACCTAGAAGGCCACAGGCTCTTTAGCTCTTAGCACTTCCCACACTTGTGTCCAGGTACATGCGTGTGTGTGTAGAACCCAAGGACCTGCTCTATTCTGCTGAATGACACACCACTGGTTCACCTGCAGATGTCAGGTGGCAGCTGTCCTACCCTGAATACTAAGTGCACTCCAACCCTCCTGCAGGGTCTGCAGAGCCCTGTGAGCTTTACCAGCAGAGCACCCCATGCAGGCGGAAGCTCCTTGCAGATAAGAAGGGCACCCCTCCACCCCCAGGCCAACTGCACTCACCAGCCTTCTTCCATATCTCCTCAGGCATGTAGCCGGAGAGGGTCCTAGGCATGAACTCCCGGTGGGCGTCTGAAACACAGGGGCGCCAGCGTCATGCACAGAATGGGGCCATACCCAGTGGGGTAATGGGGACACAGTGTGTGTCCCTGGGGGTGGGGTCCCCTGAGGTGCCCACAGGTGGAAATCCTGTTATCAGCTGCTGGTACGGGGCCAGGCAATATCAGGAAGGGGGATGCTCTGGAGCACCTAGGACCCTGCTGGGACCTGGGCCTGTCCTGGACCTCTCCTGGTTTCTACAGTCAGCATCCCAAGTCTGTGCTTCCAGTGGGTCAGGCTGTACATTTATGCAGAGCAAAAAAGGCAGCTCCTTTTCAAGGGAAACTCTTCGGTTGTATTTTACTGTAGTGCCATAACGGGGGTGTTGGTCTTGGCCCTTGGCACCCCTGCAATACCCCCTCTGCCCCCATGATGCCCCTCAGAACGTACCTAGCTGAGAGCCCTCTGCACCCACGGAGCTGTTCAGGGGCCGGGCAGTGGCAGGTACGGGGCCCTTCTTGGTGTCCTCCGTGTCACTGTAGCGCCGGATCCAGTGGTTGAGCTCCTCACGGTCGGCCTCCTGGCACTGGCGCAGAACCGTGAGTGACCGCCGTGTCTTCTCAGCCATGTCCATGATGCAGTTCAGGAGCTGTGGGTGGGCAGGTGGTGGCTGTGAGCATGTGCGGCCTGGTGTGGCTGCTCCGCGTGGGGGACGCCCAGGGAGCTTTTCCTATACTCTGGGCCTGGGCCAGCCCACTGTCCATGTGGCTGGCCACAGTGAGCTCAGAGCAACAGTGTGAAAATCGCCTCCCCCGCCTGGAAAGGGACCCCCTGCTTGGAGCATGGGGGTGGGGGTAGAGAGCAGACTGAGTCCAGAGTCGTCTCAACTCTGCAGGTTGTGCTCAGTCCTGGGGAGAGTGGATGGACCAGTACTGCCCTGGGGACCACCCTGCCTAGGGTCCCTTCCCACAAGGGAAGCTGGGGAGGGATGACCAGAAGCAGCTGGAAGGGGTCCCCACACCACCAAACCACCTTTCTCCCAGAGAAAGATGCTCTGCAGGCAGAGCTGGGAAGGTTCTGGGGGCTGGGTCCAAGCAGAAGGCCACTGAGGCAGCAGGGGCATGGCAAAGTGGGGCCCACAGGAGCCTGCTCCCAGGCAGCCCCATGGCCCCATGGTCTGGGCACACCCCCGGAGATCGTGGCAGCACCGTGGCCCCAGCCTGGACACTCACGTTGTTGAGATGCTTCCACTCCTCGGCCCATTCCCGCTCCGTGAGCCTGTGGTCGATCACTTCCTCCTGCCGGGACCCGTGTACCGCTGCAGGGGTGTGTGCACGCTCAGGCCCCATGTCGCAGGCCCCCCTGCCCCCTAGGCCCCTCTTGACCCCAGGCCTGTCCTGTGCTCCAGGCACTGCCCTTTCCTGTGTCCCCCTGGCACAGTTCATTTTTGTGCCCACCGCCACCCCCATGCCTCCAGGCCCCGCCTCTAACCCAAGCCCTGCCCAGGTCCCACCCCTCATGGAGGCCCCGCCCCTCACCCCCGACCCGGCCACAGCCTCCCCCCACTCGTACCTTCCAGGCCCCGCCCCTCACCCCAGGCTTGCTACGAGCTCCAGGCACTGCCCTTTCCTGTTTCACCCCCAGGCCCCGCCCCAGGCCCTCCAGGTCCTGCCCTGGGCCCCCAGGTCCTTGGGCTTTGCCTGCCTGAGGGAGCAGGTGAGGAGGGGTCCTTGGACAGACACTGCCCACTGCCCTTCCAGGAGGTCAAGAACAGGCCTGGCCTCTACTCAGTGTTTGGGAGGAAGAGATGGGTTCCCATCCCTTGGTCTACACTTGGCTACCTCTCCCCTACCTTCCAGTCTCCAAATCCACCATATCTCAGTTTTCCTGCCTCGGGCCTCACTTTGATGGCCTTAGCTCTCCTCAGAAGCCCTCGGGCTCACTGGTGGCTGCCTGGCTCCAGCCGTGCTCTACTACTTACTCTCAGCCAGGGGGACTCCTATACACCCTCAAAGCCCAGGTCCCAAGCCCTCTCCCCAGCAGCCCTGAGCCCTTCAGAATTCATTCAGCCCCAGGCAGATCCCCTTGTTAAACAGTCCTGGCCGCTTCCTTGTTTATTCTGTCCCCAGGGCAGGGCTGCTGTGTCTCCTGGGCTGAAGTCCAGCTTGGCGAGAGGCTGTGTTCTGGCTCATCTGCTGGGTCCCAGTGTGGTCCCTGGGAGACAGCGGGGTCTGGGAAACCAGAAACCCCAACCCTTGCTCCCCACAAGACCGCAGGCCCCTCACTCACCACTCCCTACCCTGCCTACCGTCTGGGGTCTGGGCGTGGGGGGTAGGGAAGGCTTTCGGCAGGTGCACAGGAGGGGAGGGCCCCAGGTGCCAAGCAGGGCTCTGTGCTCAGTCCCTGGGCCAAGCTCCAAGGGCGGCTCTACTGTCACTCCTATCCTACAGATGAGACCACCAAGACTGGCTAAGGGGACGTGTTTGCCCGAGGTCACCCAAGGTCAGCCCATGCCTCAACTGTGCCTTTAGCTACTGGCTGGTGCAGCTCGAGACTGAAACAATGGTGTGTGCCCCCCCATCCCTGGCCTGCTAATGAGAAACAACACAACTCTGAACTGAGGAATTCACACTGTTGCAACCATGTCTGCCGGTCCTCACGTATCAAGTGCTCTCAGCCCCCACGCTGGTTGGATGTCCTGGCCGTTGTGCCCCAAGCCTATGCTGGGTGACCTAGAGCTGGCCGGTGCTTCCTGGGCAAGGGTCTATTTTGGCTCTTCCCACCTATGAGGGTCTCCTAGCCCCACTCCTCAAACTGTAGGAGTAAGAGGCAGCAGCCACGGCCTGCTGTCCACTGCCCTGCCACCCGCAGAACCAGGGCCTGTGCCAACGCCCCAACCAAAATAGTGGCTGAGATCTGCCTGACAGCTGGCGTTTATTTTTGCATTAGCAGAAGCGGGAGGGAATTAGCACCTGCCCGACCCGGCTGCAGGGAGCCAGACGCTGTCACCTGCTGCCTGGGCCCAGGCCCTGGAAGCTTCCGTAGGGTGGGGGCGGGACATGGCCTTGTACAGGGTGAGGCCTCTGCTGACCCTGCCTCTGGGCCCCCCATGGGTGGCCTGGGACACTCAGGGGCAGCTGTTTGCAGGCTGTCCTCCCAGGACACTGGGGCCCCTAGCGTGTGGGCCAGTCCTACTCATCTCAGTCTCTGACACAGAGGTGGGTCAGAAGGTCAAGGCGATGTGGCCAGAGGGCTTTGGGCACATGCACTGGGCTTTCTGAGCCTTCTTCTGTGTGACATGGGCTTGTTGATGGATCACATACATGCCATAAGCACCAGGGTGTGCTGCCCCCATGATGGGGTAATGGATACAATGCTCCCAATGATACCAGCCCTGCCTCTGGGCCAGGCCGTGTGTGGACACTAGCCTCACACCACCCTGAGGAGCAGGACCCATCAGGTCAGCTGACTGGGGAGACACTGAGGCCCGGAGGTCACATGATGCAGCCTCAAGGACACATGTGGGGAACTGGTGGAGGTCAGAGGACAGGCGGCCTGCTCCTCCTCTTCCTCCCCGGCACAGCTCACCCTCGGTGAGGCACTCACAGGCCTGGTGTTGTGGGGCTCCCTTCCATCCCATGGCCAGAGGGGGAGTGTGCGGTCAGTGGTGCTCATTGGGGCTCATGAGTCTTGGGGTGCCCAGGCCCAGAGCATGGGAGTGCCCTGGAGGCAGGAGCTACAGGACCTGGGAGCCTCCTCACAGGCACCCCCACTCTGGCTAGGCATGAGTCTCTTCCTGGCTGGCCCTGACCGCCCCCCCACTGCCCCAGCTGCATACCCTGAGTGTGTGTGTGCGTGTACGTACGTGTGGCCAGCAGCCAGTGCCCCACAGGCCCTGGACAGGCACCTCTGCAGTCACAGTGCCTGCCCCCCTCCGACCCTTGACCTGGCCCTTCCTAAGGCAAAGGCCCCAGGGCCCCACCCCACTCACATCCTCTCCCCACATCTGTTGCTCAGCAGATGAGGCTGTGTGGATGAGGATGTGCTTCACTGCCGCCACATGCAGGCACACGTGTGAGACCCCCCCAACCCCACTCCCTGGCGCACAGCGCACTGCTCACCGAGGTGCCGATGGCGCTCCCGCAGCTCCCGGGGGTCAGAGTGGCGATAGGTGTCACGGAGGTGGTGGGCCATGGCTATGTCTTCCAGCCGGTAGTGTGGCGGTGGTGTGGGGTGGGGCAGCCCATTGCTGGGGCTGTAGCGCTGCGCGGGGCTCAGGGTACAGGGCCGTTTGCTGAGGTGGTCGGGGTGCAGCGGGTCACGGTCTGACCCGTTCTCTTTGGTCCTGACCCAAAGGGTAGGTCGGGGGGGGGGGGCGGTGGTCACAGACCATGAGCCATGGACAGAAGGCCAGGCGGGAGGGATAAGGAAGAGAGGTGAGGGCAGAGGAAGAGAAAGAGCCAGAGGACAGAGACAGATGTACAAGAGACATGAGGCCCAGCCAGCACCCCACTGTCCCTCCTCCTCTGGGGCTTGCGCCAGCCTCCACCCCATTGCTGGTGTCTGGGCTCCTGGGGCCAGTGGTCAGGAAGCCCGAGCCTCTGTTGAGGGAGTGAGGAGCTGGGCACGAGGGTCAGCCCAGGCGCCTGGACACTTGGGTGTCCAGCCCAAAGATGAGAGCCAGGCAGGTTTCTGCTGCAGAGGCTCCCTCCCGACTCCTCCCTTGTGCTCCTGGGGGGGCCACCATCTGAGTCCTCAGGACGCCACACCCGGCCCTGTGCGGTGGCCTTGAGGGCTTGGCCCACGGTCTCAGCCCACTAGCTGCAGGCCATGGAATGCAGCACCATGTTGGCCTGGTACCAGGCAGCTGCTGAGCCGGGCTATCAGAGGCAGCTCGGGAGAGCCAGGCAGGGCAGGAGCCAGCCCTGCTGCCTGCTCCGCAGCCACAGGAAGCCCCCTTACCTGTCAGGTGTCCTCCTTTTGCCGTTCTCGTTGACTTCCAGGAGGAGCTCCGAGGAGTCGATGGGGGAGGAGGCGTTGGCATCCAGCAGGAGCTGCTCATGCTGGGCCAGGTACTGGGCAGGGGTCTGCTTGGCCAGGCGGGCGCAGTGCAGGAGTTCCCTCTGCAGCAAGGGCAGGTTTGCCTGCAGCGGGGGAGAGGCGGCCTGCACTCATTGCGGGCAGGGCCCAAGACACAGGTGCACTCTGATGCGAGGCAGGGAGGCCGACAGCCAGCCTTGTTTTGTGACCTTGGGCAAGTTGCATGACCTCTCTGGGCCTTGTGCTCCTCCACTACAAGGGGAATGCGGGTGGGACTGTACCCCCCAGGGCACGCAGTGCCTTGAGGTTCAATGGAACCCTGAGTTCAGATCCTGGCCCCCCAGACTGGGGTTTATCCACTTCATCAAGCTTCCTGCACTGGTGGCATCTGGAGAAGGCAAGCAGGGGATCATAACCAGGACTCCATGCCATCAGCCCTGGGAGCAGACACCCAATTACCTGCTGTGTGGAAAGAAGTGAGGCTCAGAGAGGGGAAGCAGGCACCCTCCTAGCTAACTGTAAAGGGAGGAACTGGGAGCAGCACCCCAGCAAACTGTGGAGAGGGGAGCTTAGAGCAGCACTCCAGCTAACTGTAGAGCGGGGAGCTGGGAGCAGCACCCCAGCTAACTGTAGAGAGAGGAGTGGGGAGCACAGCGCCAGCTAACTGTAGAGGGAGGAGTGGGGAGCACCGTACCAGCTAACTGTAAAGGGGGGAGCTGGGAGCCACATGTGGCAAGTCTGCTCTGGACCCCAAAGTGCAGGCTGCAAATCCTGCTGTCCCACAGTCTTCCCAGAGCCTCATGGCCCAGCAGGGGGACAAGCTGGACAGGGGCCCGCGGCAGGCAGCTTGGGAGAGCCAGCCGTTCTGAGTATCTGTAAATAAATACAGTTCCCCAACTTTCTCATGGCGTTTCAGAACTGCCGCCGCCTCCTGCCTCTGCCTCTCCCGCCTCTGTTAGCGCATCCACCTGGACCTGACCAAGCAGCCGATGCATTTTTGTCAAGCAGTGCCGGCTGCTAGGCCTGTTTTTCTATTTGGATAGCTGAACGGGCGCCAGCCCGCCATCTGTCGAACACGTTACGAGCATGAGCTGGGAAAGGAGGTCCCGGGAGGTCTGAAGACGCCAAACATCCTCCCTCTCCCTTGCTGGCCGCCCCTCCTGAATGGCCTCCCCTTGGCTGGCTCAGCAGGGTGGGGACCACACGGGCACCGGCTGGTTGCTGTTAGGGCAGTGGAAACATCTGGATTCCCGGCCGGCCGGGGCCAGCTGGGAGCCAGGGCAGAGGGCAGAGGGCCGGCCGGGTGGGGCAGTGTCTCCCAGCTTCTGGAAAGCTGCACCACGTAGCCATGCGCGGTGTCAGGCTGGGGAGAGGGTTCAGGGGTCCCTGGGGCCCTTGGTGGGGGTGGGGTGGGGGGGAACCCCAGACCAGAAGAACCCCCCCGCCCCCCAGCTAACTGGTACCTTGGTGTCACAGGTTCCTCTGGGCTGATCACAGGAGCCCTGCAAGCATGGACACTGCAGAAAGGCCCGGAATGACCTCCTTCACAGATGGGCACTCAGGCCACAGGGGAATCAGTGTTTGCACCCCGATTGTGATCACGGGGCTAGTTGAGCTGGTGACCCACATAATGAGGACTTATGGTGTTGCTGCTGCTTTGTTGAGCTCCTTGCCTGATGCCCACACAGCCTGTGTGCTGTGGGCCCATGGTCAGCCCATCCTGGCTCTGGCCTGTGATCCCGGGCTGGATTTACTTCTTCACTTCTCCCTCCTCTGTGCGTGGGACCATGTGAAGCTCCCTGCCTCTTGCCCCTGAGAGGGGGGTCGCTGCATCCCTGGCGACGCAAGAGAGGCCCGAGACCCTAGCCCCACGCTGGAGTCTGAGCCAGGCTGGCCACAGTTCCAAGGGTTCCCATATGGGCACAGCACATGGTGGGCGGTGCTACCCGTCTGCTCAGCCCAGGTCACAGACTGGAGGGAGACCAGGGTCCAGCTGCAGCCAGGCCGGGGGCACTCCCGCTGTGCTCCCCTGCAGCCTGTGTTCTTAAGTGGCCGGGGCTCTTGCCATGGGAGGGGGGCTCCCTGGGCAGGACCTCCGGGCCAGGGCTCTGGCCGGCACCTCATCACCAAGGCCTGCAGACAGAACTGGCTGCGCCCCAGAAGCTCCATGTCAAGGAGATGGACTCCTTGTCCTTGACAGTCTGCTGGCCCAGAGCCTCGGTGGGGTCACAGGCACAGAGCATGGCTGGCAGGCCCCTCAGTCCAGCTGGCCCCAATCACCATGAGAGCCACTGAGGCATGAACGCCCCCAAGGAGCCCTTGGGGACACTGTGGGCAGAGGGGAAACAAGGCCAGGGAGATGTCTCACCAGCCGCATTAGGCCCAGCCTGTCCTGCCTGGCACCACGTTGGGCTGCGTCTGGGCAGACAAGGGCTGTGGTGTGCGGTGGGTGGGGGGCTGCAGTCCTGCCTGGGGCCAGAGCCGGGGACGCCGGATGTTCCCTGCTCCTCCGATAAACACGGGCAGCTGAGCGGGCGGGGACATCTGCTGTAAATATTTGACCTGACAGAATGAGCAGGCTCGCTGTGTCCCCAAAGATGGGGACCGTGGAGTCAGCAGTCAGTGGATGGAGGAGGGAGGGAAGGGCAGGGCTCCTGATGAATTGCGAATGACTGCCAGATGGGCCCAAGCCCCGGCTCTGCTGGCGGCTGTCGTCCCAGCTCAGGGTGTGAGCACAGCAGGGTGTGGGCGGGAGGGCAGGAAGGAGGGAATGGAGGACGGATGTGGGGTGGACCAAGGTCCCCAGGTCAGGGACAGGCAGGGCAGCCGGGTGGCCCAGGGCACGCCCAGCAGAGGCCAGGGGCTTGGAGTCCGATGGATGTGCCCCTGGCTCTCAGGGTTGCAGGCGCCCACAGGGGCAGCTGCAGAAGAGTTTGCAGAGCGTGCCTCGTCTGTGGCAGTTTTAAATGCTCAGGTGGGGACACGTGACCTGAAGTGAGCATGTGCCCTGTTCACACATGTCACCTCGCGTACCCTTCCCAGTGGCCTGAGGATGACTTCTGTTGTACGTGTGCAGAAGCTGAGTCAGAGGGGGACCTAGCTGGGCCCAGGCTGACAGCGGCCTGGCGGCAGGGCTCAAACCCAGGAGCTTGGGACCCCCTGGAAGGCAGCCCCAACCAGGCCGAGTCACGCAGGTGCGCCGTGCCCAGAAGGGCCACATGGTCACATCTCTTTGGGAAGTGTTTCATCTTTACCCTCCCTGGGAGACATGTGATTCCCCTTGTGGAGCCAAGGCCCGGAGAAGTACCACAACACAGAAGCGGGTCCAGGGGTTCTGGAACTACGCTTGTCTCATCTCTGTACACACACAAACCACCCAGCATTTGTCAAAACACAGATTCTGATCTGGGGGCTCTGGGCTGGGGCCCAGGAACCTGCATTGCTCACAAGCCCTGGCACAGCCGCTGCCACGGGCCCGCCACCACCTCTTCCTGCATGGAGTGTCCCCACATTTGACCACAGGACCCTGTTCTCTGTGACACCCATGCATGGCTCTGTCTGCCCACCCACAGGACCCCCACCACCTGTCCCTCCATTTGTCCTGACCCTCTTCCTCCCTGTACTGCAGCCACACGCCCTCCCTGCTCCTCAAGCACAGCAGGCACTCTCCTACCTCGGGCCTTTGTGCACCATGTCCCTGCTGCTTGGGAGGCTCTGTCCCTGCTACCCACCTGCTTCCCTCCCTCACCCTCCTCAGCCCACACCCAATCCCTCTCGTCTCCACCAGTCTGTAGCCATCATATGTTGACCAAGTGCCCTCCCACCGGAGCCTCGGTTTCAGGAGTGACTCTGCCTGCTATGCTCACCACCATGTCCCCAAGCCTCTTGCTGCAGTACCAGGCACACAGTAGGTGCTCAAATCACAGCTGCAGAGTGGATGAGCGCATTTAACCAATGATGTAGGAGTGCCCAGGGTGCCCTGCAAGCATGGGGTCTGGGGCTGACGGATCTGGTCTGGCAGCTGGTGTGCAACAGATCAGCACTGCTCCCACAGTTCTCTCTAGGGTCCCGTGAGGGCCGAGGGTGGTACCCAATCACAGATCTGGGGCTTCGTGGTGGGCCCCGCTACCAGAGGGGATGGATGTGTCCTTACCTTCAGGAAGGGAATGACGAATGGACGCAGAGGGAAGTTGGTGGCCTCTTGGAGCTTGGAATGGAACTCCTCAATGGTCAGCGTGGAGTTCTGAGGGAGGAAATACACCTCACATTGGCCTGAGTCCAGTTGCCCCGCCCTAGGGTCCCAGCACACCCCTCAGCACACCGCAGGGCCCCACTTACCACGAGCCCCAGCACCAGTGTGCGCACACGCTCCCCGATCTCTGGGGAGATGTCGCTGCCAAACTGCTGCAGGGTGGTGAGAAATCGCTTGAGCTTGCTGAGTTGCCGTGCCCCACAGGCAGGGGGCAGGTGCTGTGTGGACAGCGAGGCTGTGGACGAAGTGGCTGGGCCATTGCTGAAGCCACTGGGCATGGATGGGGCACCGTTGATGGCTGTCGGAGAGTGGCTACCGTTCATCACTGTGGGAGGAGAGGTAGGCTGAGGACCAGAGCCGAGAGCGCGGGTGCATTCTGGAGCCCGCAGCGGTGCCATGGGGGCACCAGACACCCTTCACGGACATGTAGACTGGGGCTCCAGGTCGGCAGTGGGTGGGGCTGGCTGGAACATGGCCACGATCCAGGGGCAGCCCTCGCTTAGCACCACCCCTCCAGCCTTGTTCTGGGCTGCACGGTCAGGTCCTCCACAGACAGGGGGACACCACACTGGACCCCCATGCTGCCTGGCAGAGGCCTGCTTCCCACCAGGCTACTCAGGCATCCATGTGAATGGGCAGAGCGGCTTCTCCACCGTTAGGGATCTGCTGGCCTACATTCCCTTATCTGTGGATAGGTGGCCCATCCTTCCTGAAAAGCCAGGATGCTCACCTCTACCATGATGGTCCCAAGTGATGCCCCACTGCCTACATGGGCTCTGTCACCTGGGCTGATAGGGCTTGGGGTGCGGCAGAGGGACCTGGACCCCTGAGACAAGCGGGGTTGGATCCCGGCAGGGGAGGCTCCGGTGGGCTGCTGTCTGGGGCTGCCATATGCATGGGGGTGAGTGCACATGAGCCCTGGGCTACGTGTGGAGGATGGGCAGGGGACCTAAGGCCACAGAGATGAGCACTGCAAGGGTCACAGGAGCAGCACTGTTGGTCACTGGGGCCCCAACAGTAGGGTCAGTGTCCCTGGGCTGATGGACACCGTGCAATGTTACAGGACAAGACCTTACCACTTAGGTTCAAGTGACAAGAGGGAAAGGCTGAGCCTGCACCCAGAGGTCAGGGAAGCCCTCCTGTCCCTGGCTTGCATCCCACTTCCCTGGCCTCAGGATCCTGAGCCTCAATGACCAGGTCTGCAGAGAAGTCAGGGATTGTGAGCTGCCAGGGCCCTTGGTGACGGTGGAGGGGGCCCAGATGTAGGAAGGGTGGCTGGCATTTCTGGGAGTCCTGAGGCTTGTCTGAGACACCCAGCGGCCACTCACACCTTGCCTTCTCAGCCAGCTGGCTAGGCACCTGCTCTGGCAGCTCCTCGTGTTCACACGCTCAGCCCCTTGCACGCTCACCAGCCTGCCCCTCCTCCTGCACCTGAACACGCTCCCTACATGAGAGTCTGAACCCTGTGCCCTGACACATGCCTTCCATTCCCTGTGGCTACCCCCTGCCTCAGCATCCTTACACATACTCCCACAGGCACACGTCATACACATTCATGCTTACACATGTGTGCACATGCACCCCACATGCAGACATATCCATATACCTTCAAACCCACATGCACACACACATATGCACACATATGCACACGCACACTGGCAAACACATGTTCACACACACCTCACCCGCTTGGCTGGGCTCCGAGGCCCATGCCTTGCCCCTCCCACCTTGTCCAGCTGGGTCTATGCACAGAGGTCAAGCTGGGGAATCAGGGGGCAGGCAGCTCAGGACTCTGCTCCCTTAGGACAGAACTTCTCCGAGGCTCCAGCCCTGTCCACAGACCCACAGCTGAGACCTGGCAGCCTGTGGCGTGTGGAGATGGGGAGTGGGAGCTCCTTTACTGGGGATGGAAATGGGTTGCTGCCACGGTCAGCTCTGTGAAGTGGCTCCTCCTGAACAGCCAGAAATGTCTGCTGTTTACTCAACTTGCTTTGGATGCTGGGGGTACTACTTTGCCACTCCAGACCAAGCCTGCCCTGCCCATCCCGATCTGCAGACCCGTGTGGCCTCACTCAGCCTGGGGCGGTGGGGGGCAGGCCCACATGCCAGCACCCCTCCCTGAGCTTCGGCCAGCTTGGGGCCTTGTCACACCCGCCACCCCCTGCAGGCCCAGGGCACATGGCTCCCGCTGGGTCCAGCCCTGGGGCTTCACTGTGCCCTGTGGGCTCTGGAACCAGCCCACCCCTGCCCCCAGAGCCTTCCAGTGAATGCCCTCTGTGAACCCTGACTCTGCTCTCTGGCTTTGCCTTCCTCAGACACTGCCCACACCTCCTGTTGCGATGACTGGCTCCTCTGTGCTGACCTGCTTGCCAACGACACCTGCAAACACTCTTCCCCGATTCACTGAGCTGCACTGCTGGCTAAGAGCCAGGCACCCAATCCACAGGTGGCTAGGCGTACTATGGTCACACACACTCCATACACTTCCCTAGGCTCCCTTCATCCTGCAGGTTAGCCCTGGCACACAGCGGGCCCTCGGCAGCAGACAGACACAGCTCTGCCCTCACGGGCATGGGAAGCCACCCAGGTTGGGAGTGGACGTCCTGCCTGAGCCCTCACACCTGCCTGGACTGGCCCAGCTAGGTGAGAATGGGGGCCTGGCCTCAGTTACTTTGTTTGCAAATGGCCCTTGGCCTGACCCAAAGCTCGTGCCTGGCCCCCTTCTGCTCCACGCTTCCCTGGATAATAGAATCTGGGCTCTCCTCCTTCTACCAGGAGGAGCTGGAAATGCTCGACCCTGATTGCTTTTATGTGTTGGGGGATCACTCATCAATAACTGGCCACTACTCAGCAGAAGTCTGCAACCACCAATTGCGGGCCAGGGCTGTCACCATCACAATGTGCTGTGTCCTCTGCAGGGACGGGCTCAGCACTCTGCCCCCTTTGCAGGACACACCACAGTCGGAGCCCATTTGCCCCCTGGTCTGAATGGTCTTGTAAGCACCTTCCAGGGCCTGGAAGTGACACGCCAGCTCTGCAGTGTCACTGCATTTGGGGGCTTCCCTCACTCTGCGATGGAGAGCAAACGCCAAAGAGGGGACTCTAAGCATCCCCGTCCCTCACCCTCGCCAAGATGTCCAGAGGACCCCCAGATAGACCAGGAGACCCCACTGTGCTGCCTTTTTCTCTCTCACTGGGGAGCTCCAGGCGACCCCCCAGTGGACACACACACGCCCTGGTCAAGGGTGATGACAGCCACTGGCCATCACTGTAACCAGGCTAGGAGATGGCCTGCTGCCATGGGAGACCTCGCCACAGCAGGGGCTCACTGCTCGCGGCCGAGCTGGGCCTTCACCCAGGGTCTGGATCTTCAAGACACTTCTAAGCCTTGCGGCTGTGTAGACCCCCGGAGCCCCCACCCGGTGGCTGCCGCCCCAGCCCGGGCCTGACCTCCCTGCAGCGCTCTTACCAGCTTGCCCTCGGTGCCTGGGTCCTCCCGGTGGCCTGCCTGCCCTCGCTTGCCCGTGTTCCCTCCCGAGGGCTGCTGGACGGTCTCAGCAACTTGCTAAAGAGACGCCGAAAATAACTCCCAGCCACAAGTGCTTTCATTCCCACAACAGGTGTGTTACTAAGTTAGACCGCACACGTGTCCTCGGCCGAGGTTTGGGGGCACACACTAGCACCCCGTGGCTCCCTGAGCCCCAGGGCCTGGGTGGGGGTCGTGCTGGGACATGAGACCTGACAAGCAGCCCCTCCTGCCGGCCCCTCACCCAGTCAATGTGAAGCTCACTGTCCTGACAGCACTGTAGCTCGGGGGACCTGCGGGGCACCGCAGCCGGGTCAGGCATGTCACACGATAGCTGGGCGACAAAGCATCTTGGGGCATAAATAACGCACACCCATTGCATTACCTCTATCTAGGGGTCTGGGGGCTCTGCAGGGCTACACCAGGCCGTGCAGCCACTGGTGCAGTGTTGGGACTGACCTGGCCATACTCGCTGGCTAACAAGCTATGAACGTGGCCTTGAGCTCTTCCTGTTATAGGCATCAGCTGTGATGCCCGAGACTTCCGAGACAGACATGTCTACTGGCGACCAAGCATCCAGTGTGTTCTGGGCCTCATGGGGGACCAGCATCATCTCACGGCTCCTGGTCACTGCCCTTGGCACTAGGTGCTGGGTGACTACCATTTTACAGGTGGAGAAACTGAGGTACAGGTGTGGTATGTGCCCAAGTCACCCTGCCAAGAGGGGTAGGAGTGGGAGCCCGAGCCAGGATGGGGCCTGCTGTCTAGCCCACCAAGTGACAGACCCTCTGCTGAAATTTGACCTCCCAACTCTCGGATCTGGGTCTGCCTAATTTACTCTGTCCTGTGGTTGGAGAAAGGATGCTCAGAGAGGCCACCGCCTGCCCAATGCCACACAGTTCATGGGTGCAGGGCTAGTGTGACCTCAGGTCTGTGACTCAGGGCCCTGCCCCCTGGCCCTCTTCTCTCTGAGGGCAGTACTAACAGATGCAGCAGAGGCAATATCGGGGTGTGCAGGCCACGGGGTGCACTGAGTGGCCTTCTCAGGGCAGAGGATGCTGGGGCAGGGACCTCCTAGGAGGCCGCGGTTTTTGTTATTTTACTTACAAAGACAGACCATAGACCATTTTAAGCAGCCATGAAAACGGCCATGGGGCAGGGACATCGTGGGTCCGTCCTCTCCATCTGTAAGCAAAATAAGAAAAACACGCTGTCAGGAAAGCCAGGCGGGTGGGCAGGGCTGCCCCAAGGGCGCCCCCCATAAGCCCTGCCCCTCTGCCTCTGGACAGCAGTTCTAGGGGTTGGGACTCACCTCCTTGGGCCAGTCCATCCCCTCCTTTGGGCCTCAGACCCTCTGCTGTAAAATCACTGGGTTGTATGGGGGGCTCTTAGGGCCACTTCTGGGAGGACCTTCCAGAGCTCGACAAGCAATGCAGCATCTGTGTCAGCATGGGTGGGACACCTGGGTTCCTAAAGATCTTTCCTCCTGGAAGGTGCCCGGTAACCCCTTGGCACCAACCTCAAGGGACCTGGAACCCAGGCCAACAGGGCTTGAAGCTGACTGACAGACAAGCCAGTGGTGGTTTGGAAACAGAGCCCAGGACTGAGCCACTGTGACAGGGAGAAGCACTGAGCAGATAGAGATGTGATTTGTCTGATGAGCTGGAGTGAGTAGGTGGGGGCCGTGGGAAGAGGACTAGATCGCTGCAGGGAGACAGTGAGCCCCGTGTCACAGGGGGTAATCAAGGGCAGGATGGGCCTTTGAGGGCATCTCTGTGAAGAGCAGCCCCAACATCCCGAGCCACCTCAGCTAGCCTGACCACCGCCTCAGCCAAACGCAGCTTCGCCACAGGATGAATTTGTGCCAGGGGCGGTCATCAGGCAAGGAAAACCACAGCCCTCAAGTCGTGCCTCAAGGTCAATCTCTGGCCAGCTTGGCTCCCAGGCTGGTCCTGGGGAAGCTGGGGAGGCTCTGGGCAGGAATCCACAGCTGAGCACAGAGGCTTCAACCCCAGCAGCCAGGGGACGGACGCAGTTAACCACCGTGGTCAGGGAATTCCTCAGGTGCAGGAACAACTCTGAGGCCCCCTTGGGGGCAGTAAGAGACCCAGATGGACACCCCAGAAGCCCACTGACATGAAAGTGCCAGCTTAGAGTAGAAAGAACCACTGGTCTCTTGTGACCAATTTCTACATAGAGCCAGGACCTCCACCCCAGAAATAGGAGTGCATGGGGCAGCAGGGGCACATGTGGGGCAAGAAGGCCATGAGGGGGACCCTGTGCCACACACAGGCCCCATCCCTATACCCCACCTGGAACATCTGGTTCCTGGCCTGGTAGTTTTAGGAACGTGGGTCCTATACCAAGAAGGAAAGTAGGCCGAGGGTGACGTGCCCTTCACAGGCAGGAACCAGCTCTTAGCCCTCGGTCAGACCAGCCAAACAGCCTGCTGACCTCCCTGCCTGGGAACTGGGCACTGGATGGTGGGGTTGGCATTTTAGGTGGGGCCCGTGGTCTCGTTTCTTGGGAGCTGCTAGCAGTGCCATTAAATCAGCAGAAGCATCCCCCCGAGGCCAAAGGGGGTTGGGTAGACAACTGCCTGGTGGATGGAGCCCACCTAGGGTTCAGCCCTGGGGGGCTAAGGCCTCACAAAACAGGCAGAGGTGACTCTACTGGCCAGTAGCTGTGTGACAGGAAGCCCAGCCAGCCCCTGCCCACCACCACCCCCAACAGTGGCCAATGCGACCCCAGCCTGGGCACCGAGGATCACCAGAGTGCAGAGCCCCTGCTCTCCTGGGGGAGGAGGCAGGGCCAGGCATTCATCTCGGTCCCCATTACACATGGTTACCCTGGCTCAGACCGGCCCCATAGGAAGAGAAGCTGGAAACTTCTACACAGGGTGGGGTGTTGGCTATGAAGCTCCTGTGTGTATAGGGCATGTGGGAGCAGGTGGTATGGTTCCACTTGCTGGACCACAGCTTGGAGAGGTCAGGAGGTCGGCTCAAAGCCAACATCCTACAAGTCTGGTTGGGACTTGGGTTGCCCGACTGCATAGCCAGCACCTTCCTCCAGATGTAGGCTGGGTCACAGCCAAGCCCCAGTGAACCTGGGCTGCCTGGCCTTGAATGTCAGCACTGGTACCCTTCATGTGCAGGGTTGAAGGGAGCTGGGCCTGGTGGTCTCACCTGGGCTCTGGGTGGGTGGAAGGGTGTCTTACCGCCACACTGAGGCACATGAGGCTCCTTTCCTAGACACACCCACTTTGCTTGGGTTTTAAACCTGGGGAAGGCTCCCCTGGGTGTGGGGCGTTCTGGCCTCTGGATATGCAGGGAGAAGGTGGCATGTGGATTCTCTCCATCACCCACCAGAAATGCTTAGGACACACCACTAAGCCCCTAGTCTTGGGGGGCACGGAATACTGGACCTCCACTGGCCCAAGCCTGGCACCTCCCTCCCAAATGCTCAGGACCCCAGACTCACTGAGTCACCAATTTTTCTGACTCAAAGAACAGTCTCCAGTGGTGTTTCTGGACTGTGGAAGTCCACCCAGAGATGCCGTGTGTGCTGAGACACTCAACTGCATCAGTCACAGCCAGGAAGACACTGCCTGAAGGTCTAGTCGGACAGTCACATCTCTGGCTGCAGAGCCCTGGGCATCGGAGGCCAGTGCAGAGCTCCTCGGAGCCCAGGGCCGCCTCTGACAGGCTGTCCAGCCCTCAAGTAAGCTGCTGTGTGCTGGCAGGGATCCCCCTGTCCCCCTCTGAACAGCAAGCGTAACAGCTAACTCTGATAAAACACTCACAATGTGCTGGCCACTGGGTAAGAAACTGTATTAACTTACTTGTCCTCACAGCAGCTCCGTGAGGCAGGGACTATAGCGAACCCTGCTTTATGGATGAGGGACGCCAAGTCCAGAGAGGTTAAATTGCTTGCCCAAGACCACAGAGCTGAAAAGTAGAAGACTTAGGATTTGAACCACCAGACTCAGGCTCTGAGCCAGGACGAGACCTCTGTCTCAAGGGCCCAACGTTTATGGGTTCAGGGCAGAGGGCCCCCAGCACTGGCCTGACTCACAGTAGCTTGAGCCTCAAACATCTCTGGGGGACAATGGCCCTGCCCACTCACTGCCCCAGCCCTGGGGTTACTCACTTGTGTGTGGTGTGAAGGAGGGGAGTCGGGTGGCCCCCTGCGATGCGGCAGGTGGTGGGGGCGGCATGCCAGGGGGTGTGGAGCGGGGCTGCGTCTTCACTTCTGCAGGTGAGTCGGGCATCGTCGCTGTCTTGTCCGTCCTGTCCACTGCGGGTGGCCATGGGAGCCCCAGGGGAGAGGAGAGAGAGAGAGGCCTGGTGACGCAGGCTGAGAAGAAGAGAAGGCCCCGGCTGGGGGTGGACCTGCACAGCTGGCGCCCTAGGGGCTCCTGGCTCTGCGCCCAGCCAGGCCCAATCCAGGGCCCCATGTGCCCCCAGATAAACCTCAGCTGTGTGCCCAGGTGGCTGACATCCCACCCACCTGGGATCCACCTGGGATCAGAGGGCAGGTGTGGGTCAGCCCATTTCAGGTGCACTGGAGGGTGGAGCTGGGAGAGTCCTGGGTCAGAGAGATGGGGCTGCAGTCCTCATTGGGGGAGCTAGGGTTTACCCCCTGTAGGACAGGGGGCTACATGCCCCCCCCAGGCAGTGGCTTGCAAACACTGCCTCTGTCAGCATCCCCTGGAGAGCGGGTGCAGAGATGCCAGCCTCCTCACCCCCACTTCTGATGCAGGAGATCTGGGGAAGGCCCAAGCATTTGCACTGGTAAGGGTATAAATGCAGGTAGTTGGGGTTGCCCCTAGAGAAACCATGGTTCCCAGGACCCTGAGAGCTCACAGATGTCAACAGGCTCACCTAGGGGGGATCTTCCCAGAAAGGTGTGGGAGGCAGACCCTCTGGGGTAGCAAATCCCTAACCATCTGCTGGCTCAGCCAGGCCGAGGATGCAGTCAGCTTCATGCTACTCTAGGCCTGGCCACTCCATATGTGGTCCATGGACCAGTGGGTGGTGTGCCCCTCGACACTGTCAAGATTCCCATGTGGTCCCTGGTGCTCTGCTAAGGGTCAGGGCCCAGAGGGAAAGGCCTCTGGGTGAATCTGACCAGCCACACAAACCCTGAGCCAGCAGCTGGCCATTTTCGCAGCTGGAGGATGGCAAACCCTGGCCCTCCTCCTCCTTCTCTATGTCAGCCAGCGCCCAGGCAGGCCAAGACATCACAGAGGCGGGATTTGGGGTGCCCAGCTGCTCAAGGAGGTCAAGGTGGGTGTCCTCTCCCTGCAACAGAGCCACTGCCCTGAGGTCCCCCTGCCAATGTTGATGGGGCCTCCCCCAGGGGCCGGAGCCACAGCTGGGGCTGCACACCTGTGAGCTGTCCCCATGTGACTACATGTCATGTGTCTTCTGCCTCTCCCCCAGGGCCCTGCAGAACCAGGACAGACATGGACACATATGTGTATCCAGGGCAGCCGGCCTCTGTGGGTGGTGATGAATAACACTGACAGATGGCATTTACTGTTACCTCGTGCCCGATCCATTGCAGCCACTCCCCTCTCCCCCCCTTACAGAGCAGATATGCCCATGGTCCATGGTGTCTGGTGGGGCTCTGACAGCCCTCTGCACCGTAGGGCCCGGGGGCTGACAGTGAAGAAGACCCCTCCCTGCCGGGCCCCCTGGAACAGGGAAGCAGCCGGTAATTAGCAGCCACCCAGGCCATGCCGCACCTGCTGTCCACTCAGCTGCAGCCACTGGCCTCTGGCCCGCTGGGCGCCCTGCCCCCCTGCAGCCCGCCTGTCAGGAAGCTGATGGCCGGGCACATGTGTGCTACAGCTGTGGGGGCCCATCAACACCGTGCCTGGCTGCAGGGCCGACGGCCAGTGCCTGGTGACAACCAAAGAAGGCAAATGTGGCCAGCCACCGTGGGCCACCCGAGTCTGACCTGGCCACTGGGGTCCCACGGGCAGGCCTGGGGGGGTTGTTGCAAACACATGGCCGGTTCCATCTTTCCAAAGCCTTTCCACACTGGGGGCTTTGTTTCTGCCTCACCACCAAGGACCAAGCCCACCGCACAGGACGGAGGGAGCCTGCCGAGCCCGTACACCTCCTCCCCCGGTTGCTTGTGTGACAGGGAAGGGCCACTGGGGGCGAGCACAGGCACCAGGGATCTAAGCACCAGGTCATGCAGCGCCCCCACCACCTTTGAGAATCTGGCTCATGGACACACTCAGCCCTGGGACACCCGCCAGGCCCTGAGCGGGGAACAGGCAGTGCCCTGCCCATGCCCCACGACCTCCCCTGGCAGAAAGGGAAGCGCCCATGGCAAGTGCTCATGGCTTGCTCTGCACACATGACAGTCATGACTCTTCATTCTTACTGCAGCCCTGGCAGGGGTGGGGGGCCCTGCCAGCCCCAATTCATAGGCACAGAGGTGCCAAGGCCACACAGCCAAAGCAGGTGTGCCTCTGCTGGCCAGCGTGGGTTTGCAGGGTTTTGAACCCTGCGTGTTCTCAGTGCACATTGTTCTTCCAGAACAGGTGGCAGGTCTGGGATTCAGACTGAGGCTGCTGGGTGAAGGTGGGGATGTAAGCACAGGTGCACAGTACGGGACCACAGGAGTCCCCTGAGCCGTGAGTACCTGCTCTACTGCTTTCTGGCTGTGTGACCCACAGTCAGTCCCTTCACCTCTCTGAGGCTCCTTATGTCCCTATGGAGGGGTGGCCATCTGTGCACAAGTGCTCGGTAAAATTCAGCGGAGGTTTATAAGAACAATTTGTGTGCTGGGACCTCAGCACAGATCCCACCCTCAGGGAGGAGCAGAGGTGGTACAGTGATGGGGAGGAGCAGAGGTGGTATAGTGATGCCGAGGAACAGCATGTGTGGTGACGGAGCAGAGAGCACAGAGCCAAGAGTGTTCAGGGAGTCTGGGTGAGAAGCACGAGTGGTGGCAGGTGCATGTGGGCTGACTTTGTGCAGACAGAGAGAGGAGCCACTGAAGGCTCTGCTGACACCCTTCAGCAGCTTCCACTGTACATGGGCCTTCCTGTCTGATCCAGGCCACCCCTCTCACCCCTCCTGGGCCCCTAGAGCAGCCCCCCACCCAGAATGCTCCTGCTCTCCTGGTGGCTCAGCTCTGGTCTCACTTCCTGGGGAGAGATGCACCCCCATGTCAGCCCCTCACCCTCGGGATTGTCACCCAACTCTGGGATGACCTTGCTTCCCAGTCCACATGGTCAGGTTCCTGTGGGGGTGTGTGTGGAGACTTCCGGAAGGCTGGACTTTGCACACATGGGCACAAGGGCAGGATGCAGGGTGGATGGAGACCTGAAGGTCTCTCCATGCAGAGGGGTTGGAGGGGGAAGGTTGAGGTGGAGGTGCCGCTGGGCAGGGACAGTGGAGGTGGGTCCACCCAGGGCCCAGGCTTGGAGGGAGCTGGATGCTGCCCTCCCAGGACAACTCACTGCCTCAAAAGCAGGCCCACAAACTGGCCACCACCCTGGGGTACAGGACAGATGGAAGGAGACAGGGAGAAATGCTCTTAGCAGGGGGCTGGCACACAGCACAGTCACATAACAGGTGGTGGGGGCTATTGTCACTGCTGTGACCTATCATCTCCTCCCCCTCCCTGAACCCCAGGCTGTGGGGGAGCCCCGGCCAGCCTGCAGCAGCTCCGCCTGACCAGCCACAGCCTGTGTGCAAACAGTAAGGAGCTGCGGGACAGGGGCTGCCTTGTTCTTCCGGCTCTGGCTCCCCACACTGCCCCCTCTCCAGACCCCCTTGCCAAGCCAAGGGCTGCTCCCTGGGCCCCCAAGACTTGCAGCGAGGCTCAGACTCCCCATGGCTCTCACTGGTTGGGGGCTGTCTTGGCGGGATCCTGCGCCCATGAGGCAGCATACACTGGAGCTGGCCTCAGCTCAGGGTGTGGGGTGCAGTGGAAAGGCCCTGCCATTGGATGCTTGGTGTCAGGACCCAGCGAGGGGGACAGTCCCGCTTTGTGTCAAGGCTGCCAGGGAGAGCTGGCTCAGCTTCCTGGCAAGGTCCAGACCCCGGCTGGAAACCCCGGTGGGCCCCATGAGGCTGCTCTTCCCCGCTCTCCCTTCTCAGGTCAAGCATCCCCACCCAGTGTCCTCATGCCCATGCTCTGCATACAGCATTGGGTAGAACCCCCACAACACAGCCAGGGCCCCACATGTCATGACTGCCAGGGTCACCCGGCCTGGGAGCAGTAGACGCGGCCTGACCTGTCCCCTAAACACCACCTCGGCCTCTGTCTCCCGCACTCCTGATTCTGGGGTCCTCTGAGGCTGAGTCTCATTGATTGTCCAGCTGACGGCGGGGGCTCCCCTGGACAAGCTCCATCTTAGGGGGCTCCAATTAGGCAGATCTGGTCAAATTTTCTCACGATTTTAACATACAAGAGGAGTATCCGCTGCCCCTAGGTAGGGCTTAACACCTGCTCCCCACACATCAGCTCATCTACCCTTAGGTCAGGAAAAGCAAAGTGACCCCAAGGACTGATCTTTACAGGAGTTGCACACTATAGACTCATACTGCGCTCACTTAGATGGTGAAGCAGCGGCTCAGGGAGGGTAGGTGACTTGCTCAGGTCTCAGAGCTGGAAGCCCAGAGCCTGCCAGGCAGAGGAAATTCAGAACCGGAGCTGTCCTGGGAATGCCACATGGGATCAGAGGCTCCTCATTCTGAGTCAGGGTGGATGCCCTGGGCTGTCCCAACAGGGGCAGGCACGTGTGAGGACCATCTCCCATCTGCATGGAACTCCTTCTGACCCTGGAGCACTCAAAAAGGAACCAGAGCCAGCCACCAGCATCCCATGCCCTCCCCTCCAGCCCTGTCAGCAAAGAGGGGCAAGGCACCGCGGTTCTTCCCAAGCAGCCAATCAGGGGCTGTTGGGTGAGTACAGAACCCTGTCCTAGGGAGGTGAGGGGCCAGCGACAGGAGTAGAAGCAAGGGAGCATGGAGTCTGGACCAGGGACATGGAGCCCAGCAGCCAACCTGGAGCCTGGAGCAGCATCCCGGTCAGAGCAGCTGCCTGGTGCTGACGCAGGCAGGGACACCCGCAGGGGAGGGCTGGGCCCCCATCCTGGGGCCTTGGCTCAGAGGGGGCTCTGACATACGTGGAAGAGAACATTCCTTATAGGAAGGGCCCAGACCACTGGCTTGTGTGACCTTCCCACAACCCTTGGAGGCCGATGGTGTACTTCTCTTCTTTCAGATGGAAACTGAGGCACAGAGGCCAAGCGACCTGCCCCGCTC